AATCTTAATCGTTTGAACACGAATTTCCATGGATTGGAATGGAATAATCTTCGAACCCAAAGAGCTTTTGGACAAGTTCGAATTGAAGTTTGGAAATGGCTTATTATCGCCGATATAATTATCGCTGTTGAACCTGTTAAACAACTAACCGAAATGGGATTAGATGAAGCGAGTATTCATATGTTGAAACATAAGTTTCGAGACCCAACATATTATTGGACACCAAGGGAAAAGATTCCAACATCTGATTTTGTTCAACCATTTTCATTACGTTACATTTCCTATCTCTTATTTGATATCGATTTAACCAAAGGATATATTCACCCTGTTAACGAAGCAAAAGCTTTAATGGCATCGTACCTTTACTCAGCGAAAAATTTCGAAGATTGGATGAATCCATGTGAACAATTTACTACAAATCCCGAAATGGTTCGACTATTAAAAGAATTTCATAGAGATAACCAAAATTGGCCTTATAAAATTAACCTTTTAAATTAATTTAAAAGGTAATCCAATTAAAAAAAAGGACGAGTTTTAAATAACAATTGAATATGTTGAGGTTAATATATGAATGGAGATGTTACCTAATAATAATAATTGAATTTTTGACTTGATTGTTATTAGTTAATCAATGATTAACTGTATTATGCTTGAACACCAAGGCTGCCACCAGGATAATCATTAATCACCAAGTGATTAACTAATCATAATAATAACAACTATTAATAAATTGATTGGACTAACGAGTTGTGCAAAAAAAAGTATGAGGTAAAATTTGATTAACATTTGGATAAACCAACTGATACCTTGAGGCAATCAGGTTAATCATTTATCGTCCAGTTTGAAAATTAATTCAGTAATAATGATGGTTAATTATGGGAAATAATGATTATTAATTTGTTTTCATTATTATGATTAAGAGGAAGAAAGTTAAATATAATTAAATGAATAAAAGGTAGATTACAATTAGTAAATTTTCAGACCAAAATTGTGAGATTAATACAGAATTTCAATTGGAAATGTTGAAATTGGAATTTGGAATTTTCTCATTCAGTTATATTTCATTTGGAGTGAGAAGTTCAATGTAAATTTATCATCAATGGTTGGTGACATGTGAGAGAGCAAGAGATAGAGAGAGAGAGAAGATAAAAATTCATATCATCACTGAATTGATAAATATTATTATCACTTTAGCATGAAAATTGCCTGAGGCTTGAGAGATGAAAACTTCAAGTCAGAATCAATTGAATAACCAATCATTTATTTCAAGTGAACATGATTCACATGCTTTTTATTATATTAAGTTAGATGATGATGATGATAATGAGGATGAAGATGAAGATGAATATGATGATCAGATCTTCGTGGGTGAGTAAAGAGGAGGGTAGAAGATGAAGTAAACTAAAAGGACATAGGAAATAATGTTGATCATTTTTCATCTTCTTTTCTTATCATGTCAATAATGAAATAAGAAGAAGATGAGAAGATGAGAAGATCATCATCATGTTCAATGTCTCATTCTTGAAACTGAATCTTTATTTCTTCTTCTTCATCTTCTTCTCAACTTTTACTTCTCAATGTTCCTTGTCACTTTAGGTCAACTCATTTCCGCGAGTTCGAAGCAAAAGAAAAAAAGAAAAGTTTTTTCTTCATTTTTTTCTTATTCCCTCAATATCCAAGGTAAAGATGATAGAGTTTCCTTTTCCGCAATCAATAATAATACATGTTGATGATTTGATACATACACACATTCACCTTGTTATGTTATCATATTAATAACAACATAATATTATTATCATGTAATATCAGGATGTTGAGGATGAAAATCTATGCCATTTTTCAGGGGGAACATTTTTCCTCCTTTACAACAAAACTACTAAATCAAAGGTGAAAATTTTTCTTCCTCTTTGGCAGGTTGATACATTTTCTTGCTTAAAGCAATATCAATTTACCTTCCTCTTCATTCTCATCTTTATCATCATTGTCCTTATCTTCACAATCACCATCATCATCATCATCATCATCATCATCTTATGATAGGTGAAAGAAATGAAACCTTTGCAGAAAAAGAAAAACTTTTTTTTCCTCTTACATCTAATACAAGGTGAGAGAAAATGAAATTTTCTGTCATCTATTCAGATTCTCAGAGGTTGAATATTTATACTTTCAGGAAATTGAACATTTTATTTATCATCATCATGATTATCATTATCATGGATATAATTTATTTCATGTTGTCTTGTTTTTCATCATCTCCTTTTAAAATCCTAAATTATATCAACTACAAATCAAATTTAATCCGATAATTTGGTGAAATGGTTTCATTTTGTTCAATCAACTCAACGAGAAAAACTCAGATTATTATTAACTAACTAAATGTTTCCCGATTTTAATCACAATTAAAGTTCAATTTTTTTGTTCTGGTTAATCAGTCTGATATTTATAGATGCTAATTGTAAATCCTTTTTGTTAATATTTAAATTATTACCATGATATAATCATCATCATCATTAAATCAGTCAACATGATCATCATTTAGTAATTAACTTAATCAATGATTCAATTTTGTTTTTAATCCATTGGTTTATCGTTTAATCATTTCATGATATTGGCAATTTCATTTCCACAATCAACTAACTATTATGAACCATTTGGTAAACTCAAAAAGAGACTAATTGTTGGCTTAATTGTTACAATTACATATTATATATGAGATTTAACTTTCGTTGTTACTTTAATATCTTACCATTTGATTGAGAATCTAAATTGAACTATATTATTAATAATACAATAATTGTGGTAAAGTAAATTTAATAATGATGATTAAAAGCTAATATCAATTGTTCAAAACCAGAATTAACAACAATCAAGATTATATTTAATTAACTATCTTGAAAGATGAAAAATAATGAAACATTTATTGACAGGATGATTAGTGAACATTGAAACTTTCATTGAGCCTGAAAAATGATGATAATGGTTCTTGGAGAGAGAGAGATGATGATGATGATGATACTGATGATGATGGTCAAGGATGATGATTGGGTGTAAAAAAAGGCTTGACCAGGTCATTTTTACATGTTTCATAAGGTCAACTGAATCAGTTGCACTATTAACAGAAATAAAATCAAATCAAATGTCACTACGGTTCCTTGTATCCAATGTCAAATTATATCTTCCACTTGACATAAGAAATAATTTTTTATCCTCATTCTTTTTCATCATCATCATCATCATTTCTGTTTCCGAACCTTGTTTTTAGCTTAATGTTTACGATGTGAGTATTTTGCGATCGAAGCTCTTTTTCCTCCTTCATCTTTTTATTTTCCTTCTTCTCTTCCTCCTTCTTTTCCTCATCCTCATCCTCATCTTCTTCTTCTTCCACTACTGAATCCCGAGTTTGATCAACTGAACCAGAACTGGACTCATGGAAGATGAAAAATTATAAAGCAAAAAAAAAATAAGCAGAAAGAAAGAGATGAAAAGAAGATTGTTCAGAATTTCTCTGTATACTGACCACTGGGCCATTCCAACGGTATTAATCTGTGTGCCTTGGCGAAATATTAGCTTGATTGATTGTCCAGAGGAAGAGAGGCAGAAGAGAAGATGATGATGATGAGAGGGAGTAACATTCTTACCCATCTACTGCCCTGTAAATTGTTTCATGTGGCTAGAAAATTAAGGAATCTTGAATTTCATGTTATTAAACTAAATAATAGCCTTTGATCAAGAAGATGAAAAAGTAGATGAAGATGATGATGAAAATGTCCTGGGTTTGGTTCCTTTGAATCTTTCACTCCCTGAGGCCTCGATGAAATATCGTTCCTTTTCATCATCATTATCTTCCTCATCTTCCTCATCATCTTATAGGATTCTGAAAGTTCAACTTTCATCATGGATTCTCATTTGATTCATCATCAAAACGATAAACGTTTTTTTCAGTCTCTCTCTCACTCTTGGAATCAATGATGATGAAAACTTTAATTGTTATTACGATTTGATTTAATTGTAACAATTTATGATTACGATTATCTACTTATTGGTGTCACATTTGTCACAATTAACTCTCTTTCTTTTCACCTTGTTAATTGTTAACCTTTTTTTTTTATATTATTATTATTATATTTCTATTACAATTGATTAAATATCAAAGTGTGTTTTCTGTCTTTCTAATTGTTAATTCAACTGTTGATTGATTGATTTGTTGATTGTCATTGATTCTTGTGATTAATTGTTTTTTTATACTTTGTTTATTGTTGTTCAAATTCAATTGCAGATTTTGTCTGTTTTTTTTATTCATTACAATTAATATAAATTTTGATCATTTTTTGTTTTTCCTCAGCTTCTTGTATTTATCACTTAGGTTACAAGTTAATCATTTAATAGTTAATTTAATCATTTAACCTTCAGTTAATTATATTATTGTCTTGAACCTTGAAGTTTAATCCTTAATTCACAATAAAAATAATACTGATGATGAGATTTAATTGTTCAAGGTAATTAGTTTTGTTTCCACTTGATTTGATGAAGATATTGACAAAAAAAAAGCCTTTCATTTGAATCTTAATTTACTTGAATTAATTTTCATCTCACTTTTTGTTAATTGTTTCCAATTGTAAACCTTGATTGTTGATTAACTTTTTCTTAGTTATTATTATCATTCTGTTCATTTTTCATGATAATAATAATGATAATCTGAGGTTTCATGTTGATTCATTTTATCTGATAAACTGATTTGGTTGTTTTTTTTTCATTTGATTCAATGAATTCAATTTAATTGTGGTTACAATTTTTTCTCGTCTTTCATTATTAAATCTATTAATTTCCAACAATTTGATCTGATCATTTGTTGTTGTTATTGTTTGTTTATGGGAAAAGTTATTAGTTAAAGTAAATTAAATGATTATTAGGGTTTCGAAGTCCTTTTCCTTGTGAGTATTAATTTTTTTACATTACATTTTCCTCAATTACGATTAAAATCAAACAATAAAAAATAAATATCACATGATATTAACTCCAATGTTTATTGACCTGAAAAAGATTTATCATCTTTATCATCATCATAATCATAATTATCATCCATTTGGTCTTGATTGTTATCCATCCAATTCAATTAAACATATTGATATTGATCCAAGTTTCATTATAATCATTATCATGTTAATTGTTGATTGTTACGATTATAATTTTGTTTGTCACAATCAACTAATCAAATGTTGATCATTAAAAGGGTAATTTTTTCCCTCTCTCTCACTTTTTTTGCCTTGGCATCAATTTGTCTTCAGGCTTTAATTGTAAGTTAAATTGTGATATTCATGGTAAAAGGTTGAAAGATACTCGATAAAAAAAAACCAGAATTGTAGGTAAATCTGTTGATTCCAATTGATTGTTGTCTATGTTGTGTTGCTTCCTCCTATTGGATTTACTGTGATGATTTATCTACTTGATTGTGAGCAGTTTAATCCAAATGGTTTAAATTGTTTCCTATCATCAATTTGATCGGTAAAACGTGTGATGGGTGATCATCTTTCATTTTATATAATTCATTTGATTGTGATTTTCTGTTGAATAAAAAAAAGAAAGAGAAAATTTTTTTTTTCATAAAAAATGATTGATTGATTGGTTAGTTAGTTAGTTAGTTAGTTAGTTAGTTAAATTAGTTGAATTATTTAACTTACGTTGGCCGTGAATTAATTGTAATTAAAATATCATGAATAGTAACAAGTGATGATTTTGAAATGAAAATTTACTTTTTTTTCACTTCATTAAGCCGATGATGAGACAATAATGTAAAATTAATGATCAGCTTAACAACGATGTAATAATCTTGATCTGTTATATTGGTGTTACGATAGTGAAGACGATGTTTGCTGCCAATTAACAATTAATCAATTTTTCCAGGTTCATTAAGGCGTCAATATCATTTATATACATTATGTATTAATATTGAGATGTTTTTTGTTTGTTTGCTGGATGATGTTCATCTTTATCATGAGTAGTTGTTGTTTTTTTTGCCTCTCGCTGCCTCGTTGTAAGTTTTTGGAAAAAGGCTTTTACCAAAAAGTGTAGATAATCATTTAATTAATTACATATGTAATTACTGCGAAGTCAAACGTAAATAATGCATAAACTACAAGGTTCCATCCGTAAGAAGAAAAATGAAGAAGCTTGTTGGCGGTGGTGATGGTGATAGAGGTGGTGTAGATGTTGTTGATAACTGCTGCTGTGAAATACATATTATCAAAATCATTTGTTTTCTTGCTTTTAACAATTAAGAGTGAAATCCATTGTTGTCTGTGTAATTTTTGCTGTATGTAACTTTCATGGAGGTTCCATTCATCTAACAGGCATTTACGTTATTGTTACTGTTGTTGTTGTTGTTTCTTGTGTCGTTGATGATGGTGATTATGATGATGAAGCAAGTGTAGATTGTAAGGTAAAATTGTGTCTTCCATTAGGAGATGTAATAAAAAATGATGTTTACCAAGACAGATAGATGACAATTAACAATGATCTCTTAGTTATTGTAACTTTTTCAGCATCTTTTTTCCTCCTTCTTTTCCTTTCCAATACTTGAGGCCTAGACACATAGTTTATCGTTAACCTTTACCAACCAGTCAACAGTGTTTTTCCAATGGTATTTTTTGTCTTCATCTTTTTTTTTGTTTCCCTAGCTGGTTAGGCTTTTTTCATCTTCCTCTCTCTCTCTCTCTCAATGTGTACAAGAAGAGCAACAACAGAGGTATTATTATAATATCTTCACTGAAGATAAGGATAAGAAAGAAAAAGTTGTTCTTCTCAACTGCAACAAAAAAGGCCAGCAAAAAATTTCTCCCGCTTGGATACTTGTTGGTATAGTAGTAGATTCGGTATAAACTTGAATAGCCAAGGAAAATAACCAATAGACTCTGTGTGTGTGTTACTCTGCCACTCTGGTAACCAAAAACTCAGCTTAACACATTTTCCAGCTTAAGGCCTTATCTATTTACCAGTAGAAAAGAAACCAAGGTATTTATTGGTTGTTAGAGAGCGGGACATTTCTCTCTTTCTTTGTTGCCCTCCTGGTGACAAAGAGAAAAACAGTTAACAGTTGGACATTTTGTGTAGTAAATATACAGAAGAAGAAGAAGAAGGTAGAAAGATGAAGAAGAGAAAAAGAGAAAATAAGGAGACCTTACAGTGGTGATGATAATCTTTAAGTGATCATCATTTAGTGATTATCATAAATTTTTGACTTCTACAAAAACTCATTTCTCTCTCTCTCTCTCTCTCATCTACTACCTGGGATCAGACAAAGTCCATTTAATATTGAAATTACCACAATCCAATCAGTGGTAAAAGTTCAGGTACATAAATCAGGTCAAAGTATGTTAACTGTAGAAAAAGCAAAATAAGATAAGTAACAGTGATTATCGGTGATTAATTAAGAAAGAAGAAAAAAAAATTAAGAAGAAGAAAAGAAAACAAGAAAAAGAGAAAAACAAAAACCAAAACCTGGAAAGGAAAAAAAATGTAAAACTAACCTAATTTTGGAATAAATTTTTATCAAGGTAACATCTTTATACTTTAAATCATCGTTAATTATTACAATTGTTAGAAAATTATGTAAATCGGTTACAAAATAAGAGAATTAAATTAATAACGATTTCTGGTTAAACCAGAGAAAAACCTAAAATTAAATAAGAACGATGTTCCCGCTCCATGTTTGTCATTGTTTCTTTTTCTTTAACAAGTTACTCCATCTGGTGAGCGATGGAGAAAAATTCGATCATATGTTGTGAATTGTTTTTTCTTTTTATTTTTTGTTTCATTTCCAAGGATTTTATTAGATTAACTGTTTGTTTTCTGTTCATTTTAATTGATCTCTTTAATTTTCTTTCTCTTTCTACCTCACCTTGATTTCTTTTTATCCTCCCTAAAACATTTTTCCTTGTTAGTTTTCTCTTTTAAAAACAATTCTCTCACTGAAAACAATTAGTGTTCAATTCTTTTTTCTGCTTTTCTCCATCTCTTCATTTTCTCTTTTAAAAACCTTATTCTCTCTGCGAATGAACATAATCACCGAATTCAGGTCATCTTCAAGTCTAACATGGCATTTTTTGATGATAAACTATTCCTTCTTTCCCATATAAGGCATTCTTTCATTACCTGTGATCCTACAGAAATGTGTGAAATGGTTATGTTACATGAGCCGATGCCTCATTATTTTGGTTCGGTTGCTGATGTTCATTTGCTTAAAAGTAAGTTCATCTTTTGCAATCTGTCAATTAGTGTCTCGGTTATTTCATCTCTTCAATTTATCCTTTTTCTTGACTTTAAACTATTCGATTGTAGATGGAACTTTGTAAATGATATCTTGTCCATTTTATCGATGTAATAAGATATTCTTATTGTTTCTTTTGGAGATGTTTTTCTTTTTTTTTTATCAATTTTGTTCAACTGATTTGTTTTCTCTTGTTCTTTTTAGCGGTCGAAATTGAAGCGAAATCGGACCTTCTTGATGCCACTCAATCATGTGAAATTGTTTCCGACATTGAGATGATCACTGCTCATCGAGGACGTTCAAATACTGCCCAAAGGTTGGAAAGACTGAAGGAAGAGAAAAGATCAGCGGCAAAAACTAAATATATTCATTGGGAGGACGTCAAAGTGAATGTTACTGGTTAATATCTAAATTTCCTCTTCTTAATCTAATGATCATCTTTACCTTTTTTTTGTCATTGACGTTCGTTCTCAGCCTAATTCTTAAAGTTTCCATGAATCAATCAATTTCACTGTTTAATATTCATTATTCTTGATTCTTGATTTTAGATGATGAACTGTCCGAATTATTCCCGAGAAAATCTGAAGAAGAGATAAAAGAATCTTCAAGAGAAAGTCTTCCAAAAAAGTCTATTCTTTCCTTCCTGGTGGAAAAATCTCCGGACAATCCATTTAAAGAATTTGCCAAGTTCGATGCTCGAGTTGGTGATAGACGAAGAACCCGAAATTATGAGATCATTTTACATAATATCGCCGGTGAGCAGAGACTCAAAACACTCCAAGTGGTCATTTTTACCAATGCCCGTGTCAGAGATTTGATTGGATTAACTTGCTGGTTGTACACAAATGAAGTTAATGAACCCGAATTAGAACCGGCTGTTGATAAATATTGTCTCAGAATAGCGGAAGATAATGGAGAAATTGATACAGATTTTCCTGCTCTCAATCCCACCGATATAGTTGAGAAATATGAATTTCGGACTTTAGCCATGGTCGAAAGTGGCGATGACTCGGGTAGCTATTCAGAAGCAACGTAAGTATTCAAATTTGATATTCGCGACAATTTAATCTAATTTGTTTTCCTTCCTCTTCTCTTTTCAGTCCCATAACATCATTCTCAGCTCTCAGATTGCACGATATTCAACCAAGTTCAACAAAGATTCTCTATTTTGAACCCAAGATATCAACTCCAACAAGTACACAGGAACATCATCGACCTAAAAAACACCTAAAGGTGTCAGCTGTTTTCAAGAAATTCCCTTGGAAAGGAGACAGTAAACACAAGAAAGATGCTAATCTAGATAAATTAGCCTGATTGAAGTGAATCAAAATGGTTGGACATTCTGTTTTTTTATCGTTTTCTGGTCAATTACAAATACATACAAAATCCTTACCCCAAATAATGAAAAACACTTTGGACAAAAACAAGAATCATGGAACAAATAAAATGATCATGATTATTTTCGATTGTTATTTTCAATATATTCCAAGATTCTCCAAAATTCGTTCATCTTTTGTTGCTTGGATCGACTTTGGTCATCGAATCGGATCTGTCGGTTACCATCTTTGAAAAGAACTGAAACAAAAAGAGAGAAAATAATGAACTTTCTGTTAGAATAGTAACAAAAATCATCAATCTTTATGCTTAGAAAATGGGCTTACCTGCAATCGCTTGACCATCTTGGTCAGTTTTATATGAGACATTCAAGAATTTACTCAGAACTTTGAATTTGTTCTTAGAATTTATATCAATTCCAAGATTTGGATCATCTCTCATCTCTTCAATTTTCCGTAATTCATCTTTTTTACAGCACAGTTTAGCTTTCCAATCTTCCTTTTTTTCGTCCAGTTTCTTCACTTCATTTTTCTTATTTTCAATATTCTCTTTTAACATTTTCTTTTCCTCCTCAATTTTCTCCAGCGGATCTTCACCAGCACAAACATCCATTCTCAGATAATCACAAAGAGAAGTGTAACTTTCCTTTAACAACTCGTCATATTCCTTGTGTAGATCATTTTTATCCAAAATATTCTTTTCAATGGAACAAAACAATTTACCAAATTTATCATCTTTCTCTTTCCAAGCACAAACACTTTCAGTTGTCATTGTTTTCTACAACCAAGGAGAACAAAAAACCAAAATTGCAACCAAGAAAACAGTCGAGCAAAAAAACTTTCACGAATAAAAAAATTGATAAGACTAATTAGATAAAAAGACTTGAAAAGACAAATAAAAAACAATTTGTAACTTACAAATTGTAACAGAAAATTAAATTAACCAGAAAATGAATTTAAAACAAAAAACCGCCGATCGAACGTGTCGCCATCTAATGAAAAGAAAAAACTTCTTTCGATATATCGAAAAGCAAAAGCAACATTGATTACATATGGAAGCCATTTTGTCAAATGAATTTGAACATTGTGGTTGTTAATTAATTCTAATAAGATTGTTTATAAATTGAGTTTAATTAATTAAAAGAAAAGTTTGGTTATTTTCGTCAGTTTGTCAATCATGTCAACTCAAAAGCCTAAAAGTGAAATGACACCAGTCGAATTGGCCAAAAAGGAGGAAGAAGAGTTTCAAACTGGACCTTTGTCAATCTTAACTCAAGCCGTTCGCAATAACCATCAAGTTTTGATCAATTGTCGGAATAATAAGAAACTTTTGGGACGAGTAAAAGCGTTCGATCGTCATCTAAATATGGTCATGGAAGAGGTTAAAGAAATTTGGACGGAATATCCTAAATCTGGAAAGAAAAGTAAACCAGTCAACAAGGATCGATTTATCAACAAAATGTTTCTCCGAGGTGATTCTGTTATTCTCGTTTTGAAAAATCCTCTCGCTTGAGAGAAACAAAACAAAAGCAAATAATTAATTTACATACATTTTTCACTCGCTGATCAAACATTCGGGATGATTAATAAAGATCATCTTAAATATATAAACATTCATTTCACTTGAGAGAGAAAAATATAATAAATAATCGATATAAATAAATAATAATAATATATATTCGTTGATATATAAACATGGATAGAGAAAGAGAGAGAGAGAGAGGGAGAGATGAATATGATTTAAGGTGATGGTGAAAAGTGTAATTTCCTCAAGATGAGTATTGTTTCTTGTTACTCTCAACTCGAGTTGAACGTTTCGTTTGTGTGACCAAGGTAAAGATTTTCCATCATCTGAAAGACAATCAAAAGAAAGGGAAACAATTAGAAATCAAATAAGAAAATAGAAAATTTCAACTATTAGAAACTCACCAAGTCTCAAGTAAGTTTCGTTTCTTTAACCAATGAAACCAATACTCTGATTATCATATGAAAGTAATTCAATGGTTTGTCTCAAGTATTTTCTGGTTTTCGATGAGCTAAACGATGAGCTCCATCTGATTCTTGATTGATCAGTTTTCCTCTTTAATTTGCTTATGGTTATCAATTTAATCACCACCATCACCATTCACCAAAATTTTCAGCAATTAATTCGGCTTTCGATTTACTCAGTTTGAGAAACCTTATTCTGAGATTTGACCAAAAAGGAAATTACAAAACAACCACTTAGAATAGAGGAATAGAAATTGAGGAATGAAAGAGAATTAAAAGAATTGAGAGAATTGAGAGAAGAGAAATAGTATTTACATGTACATTAAAGATGAAGTGATTGTGAGGAAGAAAAAGAAAACAGTAACACAAGTAATTAACTGGGATGAATTGAGGTTAGATGTTAATTAGCTGAGAATAAGATGGAGGTAACAAGGTTTCTTTTTCCTCTGGACTTTGAGTTCTGTTCGTATAGTTGGTTCAGTTGGTTTACTGATTGATTAGAGATTATAACAGCAATTGGAACAACAATTAAAGCCACAGTTTTCTTATTGTTTGGTTTGTTGTTGTTGTTGTTGTTGTTGTTGTATTTGTGGTTGTAGATGTAATTGTTTTCTTTCAAGTTCTCTGAGCACCATTGGGGTTTTGTTGTTGTTTTCTCACTAATTGGTGATTAGTTTTCGGCATCGGATCTGGTAACTGGGGTGGGTCACTTGTTTGTTTCAAGAAAAACATTCTTTTCTATTTGTTGATTCAACTGAGATTCCAGGTCTTCTAGTGATACAATCAAAGCTCTTTGGGCTCTTTCTAAATCATCATTTGATTGTTCCAACGTCCTTATGGTGTGAGACATTTTTAAATTGACAGCTTCATATTCGGACAGAGTTTTCTGTAACTTTGCTATTTTTTCCGTACTCTCTTTGGTCACTTGGGTCAATTTACTCTTGAGAGACTCATTTTCCATCTGAGATCGAGATAAACTTGATTCAAGGTCTTTGATTCTTTTCTCTGACTGAGCCAATTGGATCTCCAATTCTTGTTCCAATTCTGCGGAACTTTCTTGGAACTCGTTCAGTTCAAATTTGCATTCTTCATATCTAAACACCAAACAGGAAAAGAAAAGAGCAAGGAAAAGTAAAACAAAATAAGAAATAAGAAATAAAATAAGAAACAGAGAAACAGAGAAACAGGAAAAGAGAGATGACCAATCATCTGTATTGATCACAATTCAATTCCAATTGACTTACTTTTGTTTCCAATATGAAGCATCACCAACTGAGCTCATGATGATTGTTGATTTGAGCCTAAAAAAGGTTAAAAAAAAAGGATAATAATTTCACCCACGAACAAACAAATGAACCACCAGAATAATTTCGCGAATTGACCACAGATTTAGTTTCCCCTTTCGAATTACTATTTGCCCAAGTTAACAAAATTGATCCAACCAACTAATTAAAAAGAACAACAATTAATTAAAGCAACATAAGAGTATAGGTTCTTAAGTTGAAACAACTCATTCAATGAAAATCTTAAGGAATAACATATGATCGTTTCCATTGGAAACCGTTGGAAACAGGTGACTCATTTTCTGTCAATGAGAAAACAGTTTGGTTATTTACTCACTTTCTCTTCAATTGTTACATTGTTTTACTTTAATTTCTTTGGAATATCAACTGATTGAGAAGACATTATGCCTCGTGAATCAAGTAATTCACCTTCAACGGGTAACCCCAATTCTGGTGAAACAGATACGAAAAAGCTTAAGCCTTGTTGTGCTTGTCCTCAAACCAAACAAGCTCGAGATCAATGGTGAGTAGTTTTCTCAATTTTATCAATTCATTTTTTTCTCCTTCTCTTTTTAATTCATTCTTTATTTCATCTTACAGTATAATTGAAAATGGAGAGAAACTCTCAAGGCCAAAGAATTTAAAGCAATTTATTAGTGAAAATTTCACTGCCTGTGCTAATCGTTTTCCCTTTTTACAAGAAGCACAAATTAGAGGGAAATTGCAAGAAGATTGGAAAAGGTTATATGGACCTAAAAAGAAGACGATTATCAAGAAAGTGGTCAAGCCAATTCCAAATGATGAAATCAAAAAACTCGAAACAACGATTGAATTACTTTCACATGATAATCAATCAATTGGTTTCATTGAGAGTAGTGGTAATGACACTTATCTTAAAATGCGTAAGTTTAACAATTAGATTACAATATTTTGCCAAATTTCTAAATTGTTTCTCCAATTTATCTTTTCCTAGACAATGGTAAAACTTATCCCTGGTCACATTCAACTCCTGTTAGAGTGACAAGAAACAATACCCACCTTGAAGAGATAACAAGATTACCTTTTTCGCCGATTTAAATAATCAAATTGTAATTGTTTAAATCGACCAATTCTCACCTGAAAGAATAATCTAAAGTGAAATTGTTTGGAATAAGAAAGAAAATGATCAACAAAAGTACAAAGAATATGAGGAAAAAATTTCCATTTTCTATTAGTGATCAAGAAGAAAATAATGATTCAATATTGACTGTGATAAAAAAATTCTCTCCGACTCTTCCAACTGATGAAAGGAATTGTAAATTATTCCATGTTTCCTTAATTCTCGCCATCAACTCGAACATCAACTAACAATCAAAAAAGGATGAAAACCCGATTATTTCAACTGTTATGGATTAGATCCAATTTCTTCAATCTTATATTAATTTGTGTCTTTTTCTTTGTATTGTTTTGGTTTTTTCCACTGGTCACTCTCTTTGGTCACTTGAGTCAATTTACTCTTGAGAGACTTATTTGAGATCGTGATAATCTTGATTCAAGATCTTTAATTGTCTTCTTAATATCTAACTCGAGATATTTTAATGAGACGACCAATCATTGTGACCCCCAAGTACAAAAGCTCATTTGACTTATCCAAATTGGAGGATAATGATATGTCTCAATTGATTGACTTGAAAGACTTTCGATTTCTCATCAATAATTTACCATGTCACAGATCATCATCTTCCTCTTTCGCCTTTTCGTCATCTAAATCATCATCATCTTTGTTAGAAACTGTTGACAGTACAATTGTGATTCAAAATGGAAACAATTCAATCTCACCAGATGATGATTCCAATAGTGTTGATATATTCCTGTTAATATTTATTCATAGTGCTCCAAATAACTTTGAAAAGCGTAAAATAATTCGTGATACTTGGGCCAGTTCTCAGAATATCTCATTTTCTCAGATTCGCCGGGTTTTCCTTTTAGGCCTAGTTGATGATATTGAACTTCAACGATCAATTAATCAAGAGAACAAGATTCATGGTGATATTATTCAAGGAAATTTTGTTGACACATATCGTAATTTAACTTACAAACACGTGATGGGCCTTAAATGGATAACATATTATTGTCGTTCAGCCAAATTTATCATCAGAATTGGATTAATTAAGCTGGAGAGTAAAAGAGAAAAGTAATCACAATTGAAACAACTACCTACTTTTATTTAAATTGATCATTTTTTACACTATTTTTTTTCTCGAATGAGATCAAAATTCATAAGGAAACGTTTATTGTATAATACAATTTGTATTTTAAATTTTGAACCCAAGATCTCGCATACACTTTTTGTGAGCCTCTATAAGATCATGACAATGTTCCTCTCCATTTTCAATTATACTGTAAAGATGAAATAAAGAATGAATTAAAAAGAGAAGGAGAAAAATGAATTGATAAAATTGAGAAAACTACTCACCATTGATCTCGAGCTTGTTTGGTTTGAGGACAAGCACAACAAGGCTTAAGCTTTTTCGTATCTGTTTCACCAGAATTGGGGTTACCCGTTGAAGGTGAATTACTTGATTCACGAGGCATAATGTCTTCTCAATCAGTTGATATCCCAAAGAAATTAAAGTAAAACAATGTAACAATTGAAGAGAAAGTGAGTAAATAACCAAACTGTTTTCTCATTGACAGAAAATGAGTCACCTGTTTCCAACGGTTTCCAATGGAAACGATCATATGTTATTCCTTAAGATTTTCATTGAATGAGTTGTTTCAACTTAAGAACCTATACTCTTATGTTGCTTTAATTAATTGTTGTTCTTTCTAATTAGTTGGTTGGATCAATTTTGTTAACTTGGGCAAATAGTAATTCGAAAGGGGAAACTAAATCTGTGGTCGATTCGCGAAATTGTTCTGGTGGTTCATTTGTTTGTTCGTGGGTGAAATTATTATCCTTTTTTTTTAACCTTTTTTAGGCTCAAATCAACAATCATCATGAGCTCAGTTGGTGATGCTTCATATTGGAAACAAAAGTACGTCAATTGGAATTGAATTGTGATCAATACAGGTGATTGGTCATCTCTCTTTTCCTGTTTCTCTGTTTCTCTGTTTCTTATTTTATTTCTTATTTTATTTCTTATTTCTTATTTTGTTTTACTTTTCCTTGCTCTTTTCTTTTCCTGTTTGGTGTTTAGATATGAAGAATGCAAATTTGAACTGAACGAGTTCCAAGAAAGTTCCGCAGAATTGGAACAAGAATTGGAGATCCAATTGGCTCAGTCAGAGAAGAGAATCAAAGACCTTGAATCAAGTTTATCTCGATCTCAGATGGAAAATGAGTCTCTCAAGAGTAAATTGACCCAAGTGACCAAAGAGAGTACAGAAAAAATAGCAAAGTTACAGAAAACTCTGTCCGAATATGAAGCTGTCAATTTAAAAATGTCTCACACCATAAGGACGTTGGAACAATCAAATGATGATTTAGAAAGAGCCCAAAGAGCTTTGATTGTATCACTAGAAGACCTGGAATCTCAGTTGAATCAACAAATAGAAAAGAATGTCTTTCTTGAAACAAACAAGTGACCCACCCCAGTTACCCGATCCGATGCCGAAAACTAATCACCAATTAGTGAGAAAACAACAACAAAACCCCAATGGTGCTCAGAGAACTTGAAAGAAAACAATTACATCTACAACCACAAATACAACAGCAACAAACCAAACAATCAGAAAACTGTTGCTCTAATTGCTGTTCTAATCTCTAATCAATCAGTGAACCAACTGAACCAACTATATGAACAGAACTCAAAGTCCAGAGGAAAAAGAAACCTTGTTACCTCCATCTTATTCTCAGCTAATTAACATCTAACCTCAATTCATCCCAGTTAATTACTTGTGTTACTGTTTTCTTTTTCTTCCTCACAATCACTTCATCTTTAATGTACATGTAAATACTATTTCTCTTCTCTCAATTCTCTCAATTCTTTTAATTCTCTTTCATTCCTCAATTTCTATTCCTCTATTCTAAGTGGTTGTTTTGTAATTTCCTTTTTGGTCAAATCTCAGAATAAGGTTTCTCAAACTGAGTAAATCGAAAGCCGAATTAATTGCTGAAAATTTTGGTGAATGGTGATGGTGGTGATTAAATTGATAACCATAAACAAATTAAAATGGAAAACTGATCAATCAAGAATCAGATGGAGCTCATCGTTTAGCTCATCGAAAACCAGAAAATACTTGAGACAAACCATTGAATTACTTTCATATGATAATCAGAGTATTGGTTTCATTGGTTAAAGAAACGAAACTTACTTGAGACTTGGTGAGTTTCTAATAGTTGAAATTTTCTATTTTCTTATTTGATTTCTAATTGTTTCCCTTTCTTTTGATTGTCTTTCAGATGATGGAAAATCTTTACCTTGGTCACACAAACGAAACGTTCAACCCCGAGTTGAGAGTAACAAGAAACAATACTCATCTTGAGGAAATTACACTTTTCACCATCACCTTAAATCATATTCATCTCTCTCTCTCTCTCTATCCATGTTTATATATCAACGAATATATATTATTATTATTATTTATTTATATCGATTTATTATATTTTTCTCTCTCAAGTGAAATGAATGTTTATATATTTAAGATGATCTTTATTAATCATCCCGAATGTTTGATCAGCGAGTGAAAAATGTATGTAAATTAATTATTTGCTTTTGTTTTGTTTCTCTCAAGCGAGAGGATTTTTCAAAACGAGAATAACAGAATCACCTCGGAGAAACATTTTGTTGATAAATCGATCCTTGTTGACTGGTTTACTTTTCTTTCCAGATTTAGGATATTCCGTCCAAATTTCTTTAACCTCTTCCATGACCATATTTAGATGACGATCGAATGCTTTTACTCGTCCCAAAAGTTTCTTATTATTCCGACAATTGATCAAAACTTGATGGTTATTGCGAACGGCTTGAGTTAAGATTGACAAAGGTCCAGTTTGAAACTCTTCTTCCTCCTTTTTGGCCAATTCGACTGGTGTCATTTCACTTTTAGGCTTTTGAGTTGACATGATTGACAAACTGACGAAAATAACCAAACTTTTCTTTTAATTAATTAAACTCAATTTATAAACAATCTTATTAGAATTAATTAACAACCACAATGTTCAATTTGACAAAATGTTGTTGCTCCGTTGTTGAAGTGTTTTTATATCAATTGGTGATTCATTCTGGTGATTGATTAATGAGATTGAACAGGTAAAATGTTTGATGATTGCTGAGTGTTTTTATCCTCTTTTGATGAAGTTGTAATGTTTTCTATAAGAATTAATATTTTTTTTTGGATACAATTGAGGTTAAGTTTTTGTGATTTAAATGTTGATGATTTAAATGGTGGATTAGATTTCACTAATTGTTATACTCTCTTCACTGGGTGGATCGATTGATGGTGAAATGGTTGTTTCAAGAAGAACATTCTTTTCTATTTGTTGATTTAACTGAGATTCAAGATCTTCCACTGATACAATTAAAGCTCTTCGAGCTCTTTCTAAATCATCATTTGATTGTTCCAACGTCCTTATGGTGTGAGACATTTTTAAATTGACAGCTTCATATTCGGACAGAGTTTTCTGTAACTTTGCTATTTTTTCCGTACTCTCTTTGGTCACTTGGGTCAATTTACTCTTGAGAGACTCATTTTCCATCTGAGATCGAGATAAACTTGATTCAAGGTCTTTGATTCTTTTCTCTGACTGAGCCAATTGAATCTCCAATTCTTGTTCCAATTCTTTGGAGCTTTCTTGGAACTCTTCTAATTCGAATTTAACTTCCTCATATCTAAACAATCAAAATGAAGAAAAAAAACAGGGAAGAAAATAAAAACCATTATTATCCAATTATCTTATTAATTACAAGACAAAAAATACGACAATTTAGGACAAATCAACAAACTTTTGCCTCCATATATTGGGACTTCCTTTGAGCTCGTTAGATTCAGAGATGTGTTGAACAGTCACTTCAAACATTATGATGGAAAAAGGATTCACAAAATTTTCAAATTATTCTGGTAAAGATGAAGAAGAGTAGAGATGAAAAGAGATTCAAAACACAGGAATCAAGGAGAGAAAGAGAAAGAGAAAAAGAGAGGGGAAAAGAAAGAAAAAACAATTAACAGCTAATCATTTGTCAGAAGAATATGATGAGTTGTGATGATGGAAAGAGTGTTTATCCAAGAACGGAAAAGAATAAATAAATGAAACAAAAAAGAATAAAACGGTAAATGGAAAAATCAAAATCTCTAAAAATCCGAAAAACACACAATCAAAGGCCCACAGAATCGAAGAGAATTTACGTCACCAAATAATCGAAGATAAAATAATCACAATTAATCAATTAATTGAGAAAATTAGACCACAAATTAGACAACAAGATGTTAACAAGACCTGAGAGACAATTAAATTGTTTCAACAATTTGGTTTCTATTGGAAACTCATGTGACCTTTTCAAGAGAAAAGGAGAAACGCGCGCCATCTATTGGAAGAATTTGTAACCAATCTATCAAAAGAAAATAAATTAAAGGTGAAAATTGTAATTTTCGAACTGAATTAACAATCAAAAATTATAATTCACCTTGAAATTCATAACCTATCCTGAAACAATCAACAGTAACAAGGAAAACGCCACAACATTAACCTTTTAACTTGTAACAAGAAAAACATTTTCTCAGGTTTAATATTATTAATTGAAGTTTTTTTCTTCTTCATCTTGATAACAATCAAAAAGTTTGCAAACAATTAACAGGATGAAACCTAATTTCTTTTCTCACCAAAAAATTCATTCAAACCACCTACTATTCCAGGGTGGTTGAAATAATAATTTCTCAAATTGTACATAAAAATTACAATTAACCACAAACAACAATCAAAGAATCAGAATATTGATTGATAAATATTTATTAAGGTGGAAAAACAATTTATCATTAAACATCGTGTTTATTATTATTATTACCAAGTTGATTGTTATTGATACTATTCATTGATCATCATCATTATCATCATCATTCTTACACCTTAATTACTGATCAGTATCTTTAATTTTGTTTCCAACAACAATCACACCCTGATAATTTGAAATCCAATCTGATAATCAAATCAACAACAACACCAATTCAATGGGAAATCGTGATGATAATCAAACATTTTGTATTATATGAAAAGAAAAACAAAATTAAAACCAAATTAAAATAATAACAATTTAACAAGTAAATTAACAACTAAGTTAGTTGAACAATTTAATGTGATAGTAAAAAACAAAGTTAATTATGATGGTGATGAGTTCGGGTCAAGCAAGGAAATGATTATCATGATGATGATGAACAAGAAAAAAACTATAACCAGTTTATCATGAACTGAATGGGATGAGGATGATAATGATGAGGAAGAAAAAAAAAGTATAATGAGAGAGAAAAAGTTAAGATGATGAAGCGAATTTTTTTTTTCTCTTCTATTCTTTCATTGTTATATTTCATATTTTTCATATTCTATCGTCATCATCATCATCCTCATCTTCATAATCTTCATCTTGCTTTCTCTTCCTGTTAAAGGTTGACCCTGAATCCTTGTAACCATCATCATCATCATCATAATCACAACTAATCATCATCAGAATGATTATCATCTGACCAATGGCTATTATCTGTTACTTTTTTTCTTCATCATTTCCATCATGATGATGATGATCAAATTGATAAGGTCGATGAACAGAAAGTGATAGTTACTCAATGACAAAATAGTAGAAAAGTTCAAGGAACGATTTTGTTGACCTGACAAGAGTAACTTCTGGTCTACAATCGGCACTGAATAGCTTCCGTTATTGCGACCGCTTCTTTTGATAAAACGATTAACGGTCAGTTGATTGTAACTTTAAATTCATTCAATATAATTCCAATTAAATCAATTGAAATTCTTTGCTTTCAAATCAATCGGATAAGAGTTTTTCTTACGCTATTGCAGTGAGACAATTAGGAAAAAAACCAGAATTTACAGAATATCATATGATTAGCTAATCATGATAAGTTTCATTTGCGATTTAATTTTAAATCTAGATGAGGACGATGATTATAAATCAGGTTTGCACGACCTTGTTACAAAGACAAAATCGAGTATAAAATCAAGTCCACTAAGTCTTCGTGCTTATTAATTGTTACCTAATTGTGGTGAGTTGCAGTTAAATTACTTTTTTTTGTGGTTCATCATGGAGATTTCATTGAAAGGTAAGAAAGTTCTGGTAACTGGAGCATCCAGAGGAGTTGGTCGAGCGGTGACCGAGCTTGTGGTCAAAGCCGGAGCCTCCAAAGTCTATGCTGTGGATATATTGAAGGATGAATTGGATAAACTGGCAGCCGAAGTTAACAATGTCCACCCAATCCATCTTGATATAAGCGACTGGTCAGCTACTGAATCTCAACTAACTTCAATTGAACCTGTTGATTGTTTGGTTAATAATGCTGGTATTTGCTGGAATACAAGTCCAGGGAAAATTAAGGAATCAGATTTTGATGAATTGTTTGCTGTAAACACAAAAGCGGTGATCAACATAACCCAAATCATTTCAAATTCAATGGTCAAGGCTGGAATCAAGGGTTCCATTGTTAATGTGTCCAGTCTTGGGTCGGTAAAAGTTTACCCACCATTTTTGGTTTACAGCGTATCGAAAGCGGCTAATGATCACATTACTCGTAATTTTGCTGCCCAATTGGGTCCACAAGGTATTCGTGTCAATGGTGTTAATCCTCATGCAATTTTGACCCAAATGTTGGCCACTTCAATTCGTGACCCTGAAGAAGCTGAAAGATTAAGTCAATTGAACACAATCACCAGATATTTACAACCAGAGGAAGTTGGAAAGGTTATCCTTTTCCTGTTGAGTGATTGGGCTGAAACAATTAACGGAACAACTTTACCAATCGATTGCGGTCATTTATTAAGTTAAAATGAAAATTTCCCCTGAATATTGAATAGTGTCATTTTCCCACAATTATAACATGTTGATTATTGATTTAATTTTCATTGAAATTATAATATTATACTAAAAGTAATTAAAAAAAGAAATAATTTGGTTATGGCAATTAATTGAGTAACAAGTTACTAGCTGATTACGAAAATCACTGATGAGAGAATTGGTACAAATGTGACATTTGTACCTTGTAAACAGTTTCAAATAAAGGTGATAATGATTTGAATAAGGAAAAGGTAGAGAAAAGAATTTAAAGTTTTTATTACAAACCTTCGAACGAAAATTGAAGAGCTGAATTGTGACTGAAACAATTAGAATTCACCTCGAAAATATCAGTAATCCTGGATTATTGAGGAGAATTTAACAATTTTTTGTGAAAAGGTAAAGAAAAAGAGAACGATAATAAAAAGATAAAATAAATAAAGTGATGTTGCTAAGTGATTTTCAGTTTAATTTCAATTTGATCAGATTAACTTTTTCTACTTATTTACACAGATTCGACTTTCGACAACGTTGAAGAGAAAAGTTTTGGTATAAACAGAATCTTTTGCTGGTGAGATTAACATCATTCATTAACTTTAGTCGTGTCATTATCATTGCCTTGTGATCGTTAATTTATTATAATGAATTTCATCTGTATAATTGTAACTCTGTTTTCAACATTTACCATGGCCCAAGGTGATGATACCAACAATGTTAACCCTTTAATAATAAATTCAAGACCACAGCCAATACCAATACCAAAACCAATACCATTGCAATCACAGCAACAACCAACACGAGCAGAAGCAATACAACAACAACTACTAAAACCCCGATCACAACAACAAGTAGCAAAGCAAGTAGTACAACAAGCAAGACAACTACAACCACCACAATCGTCGTCACTACAAGCAACACTACAAGCAACACAACAATCAATAGAACGAGCAATACAACTACAACCATCAACATTAAAATCAAGTCCACAGCCAATACCAATACCATTTCAATCACAGCAACAAGCAATACAACAAGCAATGCAACAACAAGCAATGCAACAACAAATAGTACAGCAACAAGCAGTCTTACAACAAGCAATACAACAACCATCGACACAGCAAACAGCCCAACAACAGCAAGGAGAGCAGTTATCCAGCAATACAATGGCGATAAATGTGAATTATAAGGCTCTCGAACCAAGTACCCTTTCCAGTCTCAAGTTATGACACCAATTATTGTGTTGAACTTGACTATTCAAACGGTTATCGAATTATAATTAACATTCATTAACTGTATTAATGATATAACGATTAAAAATATTAATTACTAGAATTAAATACTATCGAAACAATACTATCAACTTACATACAACCACCCAAGTTGAATTTGGAACAAAAATTAAATCATTCGCGCATAGCGAGAAATCAAATTGTGATCGACTTCAAAATCTTATCAACTCATAGATAAATGATTTAATTGATTGAGTGCGCGAGTGATTTAATTACGTTCCAATCTCAATTTGGGTGGCTTTATAACTTTTTGCTTTAATGCCAATCAAATTACCTTATTGAAGCAACAGATAATCTAACTCAGGATAATCTGCAAAAATTTAGACTTTTTAGGAAAGAGTTGAGACTTTGTGTATTTTTAGGGCCACAAATATGAAGTCCAAATATATTTTTGATCTGATCAGTAGTTTTCTAGAAAATCGAGTTCGAAGTTGAAACTTCGGTTGAAGCTTTTTCTCAGCAACGATAAGTTTTCGGATCATTAAATTTTTACTTCATTGACAACTTTTCATGTCCTTAGAGATATGAGATTCTAGTAGAACAAAAGTTATACTATTAATAAATCGACCCAAATGTTTTATCTTTGCTCGAATGAATTATCTCATTAAACATTGTCGAACTATTCATAGCAAAAGCGATCGAATTCTAGACTGAAAACGATCGGTTCTTTTCGGTCAGTTTCAAATATTCGTTTAAATGCAAAACAATCTTAATCCTTATCGAATAATCAATATTCACTGAAATCAAAATCGAGCGACCAGAAACTTATGGTCACTGAATCGTCTATTCTAAAGAATAAATTTGTCTTTAAATTAAGATTTAATAACAATTATTGTAAAATGAGAGCGTTTACTTAATTGTAATCTACTTCAAGTAGAATGATACAAATTATTAGTAGAAGATGATATTCATCATAAGTATGATCATTTTAATAACTAATTGAATCTAATACGTTGGAACTTATCTCTTAATTAAAAGATTATCTTTCAATTAAAAAAATTAGATTATAGTTAATCAAAGAGCTTTACTCATTTCTGATCAATCGTTGAAAATAATTTAATTTGATTTTGTCAATAGTGATGATCTTTGCTGATTGTAATCAACAATTTAAAAGTCAACAACTCTTGAGAGCTGTTAGTAAGTAAACAAATTAATTTAATTAGTTTTAAATGGTGATGTGGCTTTGGAAACTATTAGAATATAAAAGCTTTCAATTGTTTCTGTTTGAATATAGTTGTTAATTTGATTGGTCTGACACATCATCATAATCATGGAGATTTCTGTTGAAGGTAAAAAAGTTCTGGTAACTGGAGCATCCAGAGGAATCGGTCGAGCGGTAACAGAGACTTTGGTCAAAGCGGGAGCATCTAAAGTCTATGCTGTTTGTATTCTGAAAGACGAATTGGATAAACTAGCAAGTGAAGTTAACAATGTCCATCCAATTCATCTCGATTTAAGTGATTGGTCAGCTACCGAAGAGACTTTGAGTAAACTCGAGCCCGTTGATTGTTTAGTAAACAATGCTGGTGTCCTTTGGCCAACAGAACCTGGATCGATAAAGGAATCGGATTATGACAAAATATTTGATGTCAATGTGAAAGCTTTGATTAATGTTACTCAAATCATTTCGACAAAAATGATCGACGCTGGAGTTAAAGGTTCAATCGTTAATTTGTCCAGTATAACGGCAAAAAAATCTTATCCTCGATTCTTAATTTATTGTACATCGAAGGCGACGGTTGACCATATAACCCATAATTTTGCTCTTCAATTGGCCCCTAAAGGAATCCGTGTCAATGCTGTTAATCCTTGGATCGTCAATACTGCCATGGGTGCGGCTGTGCCAGTGGACCAAGAGGAGGCAGAAGGATTCAGGAAGGCGACACCGTTGGGACGATTCATTGAAACAGAGGAAGTGGCGAAAGTGATCCTCTTCCTATTAAGCGATTGGTCCTCAATGATTAACGGTGTAACTTTGCCAATTGATGGAGGACTAATATTATAACGAAAAATATTAAGATTAACTAGAAAGTCACAAATGACAATTTATATAAACAAATAAACTTTTTCGATTTAATTTTGGTCAATAATCTCTTTGTTAATGTTTATTGCATGATAATCATAATACATGTACGATTTTCAAGTAAAAAATGCAGAAAAAATCATATACAGTTATGAAGATTAAGTTTCATTCAAAGTACTCGAGAAAAAAAAGTTTAGTTATTCTTTTGTTATCCATTTAAGGCCCATCACGTGTTTGTAAGTTGAATTACGATTTATCATTGTTTATTTAATATCTATTCAGGGGGATGAAAGAGAAAAAGGTGAAGAGAATTTAAATCAATTGTTATTCAGTAATTAACACTGGAGCAAAAATAGATGTTAATTGTCACCGAAAAAAAGATCTTTGTTTACTTTAAGGGAGAGAAATGAAAAAACAAACACTGACAAGATGATCCATAGGTAAAATGAAGATCTAACCTTTCTTGCTCGATGATGATTAGAAAATTCTGACGGAATTAAATTGATCCAATTTAGAAATTATTATTAAATCATGAAACATCATCACGAATCGTCAATGATGATAAACAAGAGCCAAATGACAATCAAGACTCATTTTCTAAGAAAATTTTTCTTCATTTACTGAGTTTATAATCGATTATCTGTAAATATAAAAATCGAAAAAAATTTATTCGATTGATTATCTTAAACATTTAGAAATCGAAAACTTTGGGAAAACTGCATTTTAATCAATAAATTCTCTATCTTGGTTTAACGAAATAAGATGTACATGAATTTTATTCATTAAATCAGAAAAATGAACGATTTTGAATAACAATACCAACTAAATGATAATCGATTCGAACGATAACATGACGGAAATTTCTGTTCGCTGACTGGTAATTGAAAATAATTACGAGGTTTAATTACTATGTGAATGTTTGAATAAATAGTGCAAGAGATGGTCGATTATTCTGATTGGATTTTGAAAAGAATAAATATGAATTATAAAGGAGAAAATTGAAATTGTTTAGATTATCTCATGAGAGATTGAGGATATCCAGAATTTGGAAATTATTTTCATGACGCAGGCCCGAAGTTGATATATTTTCCCTCTTTCTTTTCAGGGAGATGTTGAGTCTAAGTGGTGGGAGTTTGGGTGTAAGAGAGAGTTTCAGTGTTCAGGTTAGTTCACCAAATAATTTCATCTTCAATGTTGAAACGTGAAAACCATTAATGGTCAACTTAATTGTCAGTGGAAACAATTGGAATGTTTCACAATCACCAACTAATTAGTTCCAATAATCAATTGTCCAGATAATAATTGACCATAAACAAAGTGATCAAATTGTAACTCTACTTCTAAGTTGTGATATTAAAACTTTATATTCATGATATTAATAAATCACCGCCAAAAACAATGAGTTAATCAATAATGGAAATTGAAATTATCATTAACTCAAAATGATGAGAGTCAAAGTGATTGTTAAAATTTTAGGTAAGTTTAACAAAACTAATCTAATAACAATCAAAGAGCAATCAAATAATAACATGTTGTTTCCAATGTTGATTGTCAATAGTTATCAGTACAATTGAACTGAACGATTCAAGAATCAGGAGATCGTTTTTATTCATCAGCTCATCATCAATCATTCATTAGTTATTCTCACCGATTCCTGTTGATATTGTAGGCAAAATTAAGCCTCGCAGCTGAAAAAATACCAGGAAGAGAGAGAGAGAGAGGACCTGAATGAATTAAAGATGATGATAGAGATGGAAAAATGATCCATATAAGAAAGTAAAATGAACAAGTTATCAATTTACCTGAAAAATTGCTACAAACAAATGGATACAAATTGAAATACTTTTGTTTATTCAGAAAGTATATGAACCATTTCCGATTCCGTTTCCATTAGCAAGAGAAAGTCTTCCCATGTAACCATGAATTTCCCACCCCACCCAATCCTTAACCACCTTTACAATTAAAATCTTTAGAAAAAGTTTTCCAATCTAATCAGTTGTTAACTAAATCATGTTAATATCGTTACATTTAATCATAACCGTTAAAACTGTTGGTTAATTCAACGATTATCTTATTAGATGATTAATTAAATTATTTGCAATGTTAACAATTATCCAATTAGATGATGATCAAGGTAAATTAATCGCATTGGATTAAATTAAATTGTTTGTTTGTAATCATCCCATTTCCTCCAGAAGGCTTGTTAATTAAACAAGAAAAGCTAATCATTAGAGAAAAATTCAATTGATTTGACTACGGTGACTTTTTTCGTCTTATTTACACCAGTTTTTTTGTGACGTTGACAAGGAAAATTTCACTATAAAAAGGATCTTTTTGTGGTGAGGTTAACATTAATCAATAACTTATATTAACATCAACGTTACCCAGAAAGTTATCGTCTATTTATCTATAGCATAATGAATTTTATCTATTTAATTGTGACTCTTTTTTCAATATTCATCATGATCCAAGGTGATATCGAAAAGATTGAAGAACGAACAGATGAGATTCATCTAGGAGACGGAACTAGACCTGGACCAGGCACTCAAAAAGGCGTGACCGATAAACCAGCCACTTTAAGACTTTAGGACCAGTCACACTCGAGTTCGTCATGAGGAATCCCTAAGTTGATAAAAGGTAAAACGAAGACAAACAAGACAAAGCTAATAATGTCAAATTAATAATATTGAATTTACTTTAATTAATAAAAAACAATTAATGATAATTTTTGACTAACCAGAAAATTCGCTTTCTTTACTTTCGCACTCGTGACCTTCGGTTTTTTTGTTTTTCGCTTATTTGACTTCGCTATTTGAACCTTTACCAAAACACAAAAAATCATCGACTCTGTCAATGAGTAAACGGTTTGGTTATTTACTCACTTTCTCTTCAATTGTTACATTGTTTTACTTTAATTTCTTTGAAATATCAACTGATTGAGAAGACATTATGCCTCGTGAATCAAGTAATTCACCTTCAACGGGTAACCCCAATTCTGGTGAAACAGATACGAAAAAGCTTAAGCCTTGTTGTGCTTGTCCTCAAACCAAACAAGCTCGAGATCAATGGTGAGTAGTTTTCTCAATTTTATCAATTCATTTTTCTCCTTCTCTTTTAATTCATTCTTTATTTCATCTTACAGTATAATTGAAAATGGAAGAAACTCTCAAGGCCAAAGAATTTAAAACAATTTATTAGTGAAAATTTCACTGCCTGTGCTAATCGTTTTCCTTTTACAAGAAGCACAAATTAGAGGAAATTGCAAGAAGATTGGAAAGGTTATATGGACCTAAAAGAAGACGATTATCAAGAAAGTGGTCAAGCCAATTCCAAATGATGAAATCAAAAAACTCGAAACAACGATTGAATTACTTTCACATGATAATCAATCAATTGGTTTCATTGAGAGTAGTGGTAATGACACTTATCTTAAAATGCGTAAGTTTAACAATTAGATTACAATATTTTGCCAAATTTCTAAATTGTTTCTCCAATTTATCTTTTCCTAGACAATGGTAAAACTTATCCCTGGTCACATTCAACTCCTGTTAGAGTGACAAGAAACAATACCCATTTATTTTTGGTTTGGTTATTTACTCACTTTCTCTTCAATTGTTACATTGTTTTACTTTAATTTCTTTGGGATATCAACTGATTGAGAAGACATTATGCCTCGTGAATCAAGTAATTCACCTTCAACGGATAACCCCAATTCTGGTGAAACAGATACGAAAAAGCTTAAGCCTTGTTGTGCTTGTCCTCAAACCAAACAAGCTCGAGATCAAAGAGTAAGGAGAAAATGAGATCGGTTAATGTTGACAGAGTTGGATATGTGTAAATATAAGAAAACTTTTGATGGTCTTTTAAACAAGCAGATCATTTTGGCAAGAAATTATCACAAATGCCTCCGGTCACAGTTTCGTTGTATTGTAAGAAACGGACTTTGATTAGTCCCTGTATCAATACCAAAAGTTACTATACTCATTGGTCTGAGCTTCATTACCAGGCGATGAAATTTATAACCACTCATCTTATGAATAACTAGAAAATCACAAAAGACAATTTAGATAAACAAATAAACTTTTCCGATTTAAATTTTGGTCAATAATCTTTTTGTTAATGTTTATTGCATGATAATCATAATACATGTATGATTTTCCAGTAAAAAAATGCAGAAAAAATCATTCACAGTTATGAAGATTAACTTTCATTCAAAATACTCGAGGAAAAAAAAGAAAAGTTCAGTTATTCTCTTGTTCTTGGTGTTTTATCGTTGAAGTTTCAACTCTTTTGACTCTCATTGGTTCAGATCCAATCTACCTAACTCTAGAACTTTATTGTTATCTCTTTCATAAATTATTTAGGTAACAAATTGGTAATATCTAATTGTTTTATTCCAAAGATCGTAGATTATTTGAAGATCCTTAATTGCTGCTGGTCGAGCAAACATTGGAGGTAAGCTAAGTGTCTTCTTTGCCTTAGACCATTTCTCTATGTTTTTGTCGATTAAAGTCAATTTAGAACCTAAATCAGTTCGATCAATTGCTGCTTTGTCGGCCAATAGTCCGGTGACATAAACATCATCCACCCAAAAATAAAGTGTACTCGTTGATTGGAGATACAATTCAAATACGGCATACGAAGTGAATATGATAACCCAACCAGAACAATAGTCTGGATAATGTTTCCCAGGAAATTCCTATTTTAAAGAGAACTGAATAAATATAACTAAATTCTCAGGGTATTGATAACATTATTTATTATCAGATAAACTAATTAATGTCGAAATGATTGAAAAATACTAACCTGGTAAGTTACTTTCCATTTACTATTAGCACTCCTTTTTGGATATGGATTACGAACGACGAAACAATTAATAAGTCTTTTTGGTTGGGTTAATGAATTAATCATTAATCCTTTCAAATGGTTAATCAATTGATAAGTATCAACGAAAATATCATCATCCGTTTTAAGGACAAATTTGGCTGAACGACAATAATATGTTATCCATTTAAGGCCCATCACATGTTTGTAAGTTAAATTACGATATGTGTCAACAAAATTTCCTTGAATAATATCACCATGAATCTTGTTCTCTTGATTAATTGATCGTTGAAGTTCAATATCATCAACTAGGCCTAAAAGGAAAACCCGGCGAATCTGAGAGAATGAGATATTCTGAGAACTGGCCCAAGTATCACGAATTATTTTACGCTTTTTAAAGTTATTTGGAGCACTATGAATAAATATTAACAGGAATATATCAACACTATTGGAATCATCATCTGGTGAGATTGAATTGTTTCCATTTTCAATCACAATTGTATTGTCAACAGTTTTTAACAAAGATGATGATGATCTGTGACATGGTAAATTATTGATGAGAAATCGAAAGTCCTTCAAATCAATCAATTGAGACTTATCATTATCCTCCAATTTGGATAAGTCAAATGAGCTTTTATACTTGGGGATCATCGGCATCATCATCGGTCGTCTCATTGAAATATCTCGAGTAACCAAAGTATTCCCATCGTCGATATTTAAACTGATCAATACCATCATACAAAGAAAGATACATAATAATATAAGATTGAAGAAATTAGGCCTAATCCAAAACCGATGAAATGATCGGGTTTTCATCATTTTGGATATTCGAGTTGATTACAATTCCTTTCATCAGTAGGAAGAGTCGGAGAGAATTTTTTTATCACAGTCAATATTGAATCATTATTTTCTTCTTGATCACTAATAGAAAATGGAAATTTTTTTCGTCATCTTTGTACTTTTGTTGATCATTTTCTTTCTTATTCCAAACAATTTCACTTTTAATTATTCTTCCAGGTAAGGTCGGTCGATTTAAAGAAAAAGAATTTATTTTCTTCCTTTTTTTGCTCGTTTGTTCTTCGCCTTCAAATTGTGATGCTTTGCTTTTCTCTTCATTGTTTATTCAATATCTATTCAGGGGGATAAAAGAGAAAAAGGTGAAGAGAATTTAAATCAATAATTAACACTGGAGCAAAAATAGATGTTAATTGTCACCGAAAAAAAGATCTTTGTTTACTTTAAGGGAGAGAAATGAAAAGACAAACACTGACAAACACTGACAAACACGACGATTGATTCACCGTGTTTGTCAGACAAGATGATCCATAGGTAAAATGAAGATCTTACCTTTTTTACTCATTGATGATTAGAAAATTCTGATGGAATTAAATTGATCCAATTTAGAAACATAATTAAATCAAGAAACATCATCACTGATGATAAACAAGAGCCGAATGACAATCAAGACTCATTTTCTTCATTTACTGAGTTTATAATCGATTATCTGTAAATATAAAAATCGAAAAAATTTATTCGATTGATTAACTTAAACATTGAGAAATCGACGCTTGGAAAACTTAATTTTAATCAATGAATTTTCTGTCTTGGCTCATACGAAATATCATAAGATGAAGAACCATGAATATTCTTCATTAAATCAGATAAAATGAACGATATTGAATAAAAATACCAACTGAATGATAATCGATTAGAGCGATAACATGATGAAAAGTTCAGTTCGCTGACTGGCTAATTGAAAATAATTACGAGGTTTAATTACTATGTGAATGTTTGAATAACTAATATAAGAGATGGTCGATTATTCTGATTGGATTTTGAAAAGATTAAAATATGAATTATGAAGGGGAAAATTCCAATTGTTTAGATTATCCCATGAGAGATTGAGGATATTCAGGATTTGGAAATTATTTTTATGACGCAGGCTTGAAGTCGATATATTTTCCCTCTTTCCTTTCAGGGAGATATTGAGTCTAAGTGGTGGGAGTTTGGGTGTAAGAGAGAGTTTCAGTGTTCAGGTTAGTTCACCAAATAATTTCATCTTCAATGTTGAAACGTGAAAACCATTAATGGTCAACTTAATTGTCAGTGGAAACAATTGGAATGTTTCATCACAATCATCAACTAATTAGTTCCAATAATCAATTGTCCAGATAATAATTGACCATAAACAAAGTGATCAAATTGTAACTCTACTTCTAAGTTGTGATATTAAAACTTTATATCCATGTTAATAAATCACCGCCAAAAACAATGAGTTAATCAATAATGGAAACTGAAATTATCATTAACTCAAAATGATGAGAGTCAAAGTGATTGTTAAAATTTTAGGTAAGTTTAACAAAACTAATCTAATAACAATCAAAGAGCAATCAAATGATAACATGTTGTTTCCAATACTGATTGTCAATAGTTATCAGTACAATTGAACTGAACGATTCAAGAATCATGAGAGAGAGAGAGAGAGAGAGAGAGAGAGAGAGAGAGATCTGAATGAATTAAAGATGATAGAGATGGAAAAATGATCCATATATAAGAAGGTAAAATGAACAAGTTATCATGCTGAACTAGATGAAGATCCATGATTGGAGCCTATGAAGAAAAGGATATACGAAAGCTCATCAAAGATGAAAATGAAGAAAAGTCATTCAAAGAGTGAGAGATAATAGTATTGATGAAACTTAATGATAAAAAAGAATACGAAAAAGTAGTATTTCAAGTTTATAGAATTTTCTTTTCATTTCTCTGAAATTCTGTTCTCCCTTAGCATGATGATGAAATACCAAATCTCATTCAGAATTCACCTGAAAAATTGATACAAACAAATGGATACAAATTGAAATACTTTTGTTTATTCAGAAAGCATATGAACCATTTCCGATTCCGTTTCCATTAGCAAGAGAAAGTCTTCCCATGTAACCATGAATCTCCCACCCCACCCAATCCTTAACCACCTTTACAATCAAAATCTTTAGAAAAAGTTTTCCAATCTAATCAGTTGTTAACTAAATCATGTTAATATCGTTACATTTAATCATAACCGTTAAAACTGTTGGTTAATTCAATGATTATAAAACAATCTTATTATTATAGATGATTAATTAAATTATTTGCAATGTTAACAATTATCCAATTAGATTATGATCAAGGTAAATTAATCAATTTTATCCGATTGTTAAACCAATGTAATTGTCTGTCTAAATTATCAATCAACTTGAGTTTAATTGTAAATGACATTTTTTTGTTTATCTCACTCTCATTGTTAATCACATTGAATTAAATTAAATTGTTGTTGATAATCATCCCATTTCCTCCAGAAGGCTTGTTAATTAAACAAGAAAAGTTAATCATTAGAGAAAAAGAGAGAAACAATTTAATTCAATTGTTTTATGTTCAAACAATTAATATTGATCAGTCTTCTTTTCCTAACAATTAATCATTGATTTCATCAGAATCTTATCAATAATTAAACCGGAAAAGGACAAAGATTGTTGCAATTAACTTTTCACATTATAATTAGAGTTTAATATACAACAATTAACGTCTGAAACTGTTGAAAAATTTAGTAACAATTAACAGGAACAATGGTGATGATTAAAAAAATCAACGAATAAACAATTTAAACAATAAGCTTAGAGTTAATTGTGAACAACAACCATTACAATATCTAAGTTGATGGTTAGATAATTATCAAGACTGATTAATATAATTAAAGTTTAACGATTAATTGAAATTAATCACGAAACACTTAGAGTATTAATTGTTACACTCACCAAGTGCTATAACCAAATTAGTTAATTTGTCATTCGATAGTAATGTTAAAGTTACTTAAGGAGCAACAATTAACTAATCAAAGTGATTAAACTTTTCATCAATGTAAATATATCTGACTTACATAAGATTATTAGATAATTAAACGTCATTAAAGCATATCAATTAATCATGAATTAAATTGAAGTTCAAGTGCAACTAAACTAATCAAAGTTATAATGATTAATACATTTTCATCAATTGATATAACTTATTCAGATAATGATGATAATAAGATAATATCATAACTGATTGTCAATTAACTTTTATATATTATGATTTTGTCATCAATTACTAAATGTATAGATCAAACTGTTCAGATGTATTTCAGTATAACTGTCAGAGAGATAATATTTTTATCCTTGATTGTCAATATGTTTTATTATTATGATCACTGTCTCTTAATCATGTTGATGTTATTTGAGTAAGAGATGTACAGAGTTACCTTCATCATCCTTATCATCATCATCATCTTCCTAGTTTTGTGTCCATTTCCCAGATGAGACTGATGAAACTGTGTCCATCTTGTCAATTTATCCTGAATGAAGTAAAATTGTCAACATTGAATCAACTCAATTCATCTGAACAGTTGACTAACAATGATCAACATTATTTCAAATCCCTAGTCCAATATTGTAGTTGATTGTTATTCACAAATTGTAAATTGCTAACAGTTAAATCACAATTCTGATAATAATAATACACAACTAAATTAAACAAATGTCCAACCTTATCCAAAGAGCAATCGAGATTAACCGGAAACGGAAATGATGCTGATAAAAAGTTATTATTATTTTTTAAACTTTGTGATTATTATTATAAACAAAATTAATTTGTTGATTGTTTGATCATTTTGATTGATTAAAATGGACAAGTGACATTGAATAGACAATCAATAATCAAATTGAAGTGAGTCAATTAATTTTATTAGAAAATAATCAAAGTGAAACAATTTATTTCATCTCGATCATTACAAAATATCAACATTTTATTAATTAATTGAATAAAGAATCAATTAAATTAGATTGTTTTTACATCGACAACAATTTATTTAAATTGTAAATCATATACACACACTCAATTGAGTGAATTTATTAAATCAACAAAGTAACATTAACGAAACAATCAACTCTCAAGGGGATTAAAGATAAAATTAATTGTATAGTTGATTGTCATCTAACGGTTATAATTAAAAGGCTACATTGAATTTCAGCTTTTTTTACATCAAAACAATTAGTAAATTTTGATCAATCGGTTGCAATTTAATTCGGATTGTAAAAACTTCATTGACTCGATGACTTTTTCAGGCTCATGAATACTGAAAAGGATCAGGATGATGAGAGAGAGGATGAAGCTGAGTAATTTAAGGAAACAATGGTTGGTGTAGTTGTTGTTATTAGCCTCTTAATCTTAATTGATGCTCTTATCATTAATTAGCTTCTTTCAACATCTTCATCTTTTTCTTTTCTTTTCCTTATTTTTGTCCCCATCATCTTCATCATCATCGCCATCTTTTTATGCTTTTCCTTTTAGCTCTCTTTGTCTTCACAATCATCTCAATGGGCAGTCTTACAATGACCATTGATCCTCAATTCTGGACTGACCAAAAGGAAATTAAATTAGTCCATGGGAATGATTATTCAGCTGACCAGCCAACAATATCTAATACTAATATTGTCACCAAAAGTGGACTTTATTTCACTCATGAACCACCAAGTAAGGTGACATTTTTTAACACTGATGGTATAATCGTTGATTGTAAGGGCAATTCATCCGAATCAATGGTAAAAATAACCTGGTCAAGTTCCTCTGGTCAACGATTAATGGACTTTCCTGGACTTCGATACATTCGTAATGATGGTTACCTTGTTTTCCCTCCTTTCAGTCCAAATGATTACAAGCAATCAATTCATTCAACCAGCTACATTTGCATAGCCACGGATAATTATGGTTCAATTTCAAGTCGATTGGTAACAATTAAAGGAGGTAAGTAAAAAAATATCAACAATCAGCATATAAATCAAATAAAATCAATTCCCAGCAGATTAACTCATTAACCTTTACACAAATTATCATTAAGAATCTGATTACAATAAATACTTTGTAGATAAAATTTGATCGAAACGAAATCAACTGATTTACTAAACTAATACATTATGTATCCTAATCGGGTGATAATGTGTATTTTCATGGTAATCAATTCATCAGAACTTTCAAGAATCAATAAATAAGATTAACTGACAAGCTTTTTACTTATCAATTGAAATGAAATATTGAAACTTTTGCATTCTCATTGCTTGTTTATCATGTTTATGAAAAGTTTCATCATATATTTTGATTCATAAATCGTTATTAGTTATTGTCAATCGATGATGACAAAATATTCACCATATTAACAATTTAAAGAGAGAGAGAGATGAAGAGTAAGATGAGGACTGAAGGAAAAGTTCAGGGTAATATTGAGTAACCAGAAACTCGTATAAAAGTCACAAGTTATTCATTGAATGAAAAAAATTTCAAGTGACAGCGATGATCAATTCGTCATCTTTTTTTCACTGAATTTCAACAATACCATCTTCATATTCATCTTGCTCTTCTTCATCATCTTCAACCAAAGAAACTCCAATTTCAATAGATTCAAAGTGTTAAGATGATATAGTTATGAGTGAGATGATGATAGAAAATGATGAAAGAAGACAAATCTTTATGAACCAAGTAAAGTAAATGATAGACTCAACTTTGAGATTCGCTTAACCTTTAACCCTTAGAAGAAGATAGAAAAGTATAATATGAATAACAGCAATGATGAAGATGAAAATTCTCATCATTATCTTACCTTCTAGATGAAAGACACTTGATTGTGAATAAAGTAATAATAAGACTTTGTTATTTGAAAATTCACATCAAATATTTTATATTGTAAACTGAACTTTTCATCTCGCTGAGGTTATTCAGTTTCCATCTCCTCCTCCTCCTCCTTTACCCACTCCAGTTATCATGATCATTGGCTAAACTTGACTACTTGTGAGCTTCAAGTACACACAGAATCAAATATATTTATTTTTTTGCTGAGAAAAAAAAAATAGATGAAAAAAAAGTTCCAAACCAACATTATCTTGAGTTTGTCAGGTTATGATGAAAGTGATGAAATTTCAATCTCATCTTGAGCAATTCAATTCAAACCAAATGATGGAAATTGTAATAATAGGGAGATACTGATAATCTGAACCATGATAATCATCATGATGATCAATTCAACTAACGATATGTTGAGTGAAAAAAATACGAGAGACTTGAGGTTAAAATTGAAACAATTGGTGATAAATTGTTATTATAACAGTTCCAATGAATTGTATGAAATTCAGAATCAGAACTTTTGAGCAGAAGAGACAAAAAGAAAAGCTATTAATATAAAATCAGAGTAATCAGTAAGTGTATGTACTCAATGAGGGAGATAAAATTCAAACTTGGAATCCGAGGTTTTCAGGAATATTTTTCAGAATTGATATTCTTAAAGTTTAATGTCTAATGGGTTGGATGACGAGGATAACTTTCAATTTTACTTTCATTTTTCATCATCATCATGCTCATCCCCATAAGGTATCATGTTTACTTCATCATCATCCTCTTGTTAAACAGAGAGAGGAAGAGAGAGAGAGAGAGACTTGATTGAACCAATTTTGAACATTTCAACAGGGAAAGTATATATCATCATGAGAGTTAAAAAAAAGGTTACCATGAATTTTTATCGGAAAGTTTCATTTCTTCATAATAATAATCATCTCCTCCTATGAACAATAATGATATTGCCTGAATCATTCCAACAGTTCAAACATCCCTGTAGGTTCCCAGTGATACCAATATCGAGTATAATAAATTGTATCACATGGATGATATTATTACGATGGAGAGAGAGAGAGAGACTTTGAATCCAATTATTCAATCAACCAGAACAAAATAACCAAACTCGAGAGAGAGACCTTTAAGGTCAGAACTTTGTTGGAGTAGAAAAAAAAATCAAAACAAAAAGAAAAGTTAACATGATTTTCCAACTGATTATCTGAATGAAATTTTCAGAATGGAAAACAATCATCATACACATTTGAACTTGTATGAAATTCTGAGATTCAATTTTCATCCTCATTTACTTCAGAGGAGAAAAGTTAAAAGTTTACCTTCACATAATCACCATCATGATGTATTTATAGCTGTGAATTAAGATGAAAATTCAGAGGATGAAAATGAATCCATCAACAAAGTGGTAAACATCATGTTCCTCCCTTTGTTTTATTCAAAAGTATAACAATCTGAAAAGTTCTTGGTGGCGGTGGATAAAGTTTCCAACCATCATTTGTGGCGGTGGGGGAACAAGAAATGTTCAGCTTCAACTCATTTATTTCATGAGAGTTTCCATACAAAAATATTATATGAAATTTGGAGTGAAATTTTCAAGAGGTAAATCTGTGTACATAATAGACACTTTAGTTGATAACTCACACTCTTCACCATGAGCACACCAAACCCACTGACACCGAGAATAATGATAATAATAAAATGTAATGTAACTTATATCTTTCTGAGCATTTAATGGATTCCATTCAAACAAGATAGATTCATGGTGTTTGGCAAAAAAAGTTCATATGTATTCACATTCCAGAGTTTTCAGTGGATTCCATAGCATGTTGTTTATTTGTCGTTCCTTGTTGTTATCATTGCTATTATTTCAATCCAAAGTTAGAAAAAAATTCACCGAGAGTTAGTCTATTTCTCATGTTATGATAATGATCATGGTAATTTCTTGATAATAGTTATGATTCAGGGGAACACAGGGAATGAAACTAGAATATATAACCTTTTTCATGGTGAAATTGAATCACTTCATGAACAGTTAACTAATCTTTCAGAAAAAAATAAGTCACCAACTTGACAAGAAGATAAAATTTGAGCATTAAAATGTTTACCTTGAGTTTCAATTCTGTTTCAGATTAAATTCAGTTTGTCTAGAGATAAATTCATGACTCACATTAAAACCACAGATTGAAAGTCTACTTTCTCTCTCTCTCTCTCTATTTCATATTTATTTCAGGCTGAAAATCTTAATATCCAGCTTGTTATAATCACCATGAAAATGAAACTTTTAATCAGACTGAATTTACTGTTATCATGAAAGTTATCAACATTATCCTAATCATTTCCCCAGTGGACAAGAAAATGTCATATTATCATTTTCATTTTCATAATGCTGTCATTACACTGGTCAATCGTTGATGAAGATTCAGAATTTTTCCCCCATGAAATTTCAGAGGAATCACAAAAGTGAAATATAGATCCATGAACTTTCAGGAATCAGTTACCATTTTAAACTATCCCTTGAGGTGAAAGTTACTTTTTTTGTCTAATATTTGCAATATTATTATTGAATGAATTTCTTAACCTTATGAATTCCTGCATCATCATGTAACCCTGTTGAATTCATATTAGACTGATGATTGAAAAGTCAATGAATATATTCAATTATTCACATTAATATCACTGAAAACAAAAAGATACACAAGTAACATGATATTTTCACTCTAAATCATCATGATTATGAATCATATATTATTCAGCAATATTAATACAATGAATATCAATTCAGATATTTATTGATATTGTGACAGTCATTAAAGATAATGATTATAATGATAATCATCATCAAAACTGTAATAATAAATGATGATGATATTGTCTGAATGTTTCAGCTATAATCAAGTGTATTTGTTAATGGTAACACTGGAAAAATGATAATTATCATGTTAATCATGTTGTTGAGTTACAGAGCTTGTTAGTAGCTGTTATTATTAAATTAATATATGTTAATGTAATTAATCACCATCACTGACCATTGGATAGTAAAATCAATTGACCCTGTTTGTTAAAAGCTGAAACTGGATGTTGATGGTTTAGTTTTTTTTCCTCTTCTTCTTTCTGGTTAATCGTTTGAATCAAATCCAATAGTCAGAACTTTGAATTGTTTATCATGAAACAAGTTAAGAACCAATGAAACTTATTCATTTTCACCATTTACACACAAGGTAAATCAATCAGGTGAAAAATTAGTCATGATAAATTCAGAAAAGGGTGAAAACCAAGAGTGACCATGTTTATGATTGAAATCATGGCTGGTTAATCTATTGGTGAACATTTTTCTGACATCAAATGAATAAGGTGAGGTTGATGATGATGAGGATCAAGAGGAGGATGAAAAGGGATGATAGAGGAGGAAATAGATGAAGATAAAGGTTGATATTGGTGAAAAAAGTTTCTCTTTTTTTTCATTTTGGGATGAAATTAATATAATCTGTAATTGAGGTAATCGGAGCAGAAGAGTATGTTACGACTACTACTACGACTACAGGGAGTGAGATTGGGAAGGGAAGGACATTGGGATGAAACGATTGAAGGTGGGATGGTGATGAGGATGAGGATAAGTTGAAGAGAATCATGAGTGAAAAAGAATGATGAAAAAAAGGATGAGGATAAACTGGTTAGGTAGATGAATTAGAAGGAGAAAAATAGAAGAAAAAAAAATCTTAAGAGAAACATAGATGACCCTTGATTAAGTAATTTGTCAAATGAGGATTCTTGTGATTCTCACCTTGGAACTATTCTGATGATCATGATGAAGATGCTGATGAAAATGATCATGTCTAAGTAGAAGGAGGGAAAAAAATTCGATGAAAGAGTAAAAGGTGAAATGAAGAGAGAGAGAGAGAGAGAGAGAGAGAGAGAGAGAGAGAGAGAGAGAGAGAGAGAAACGCATCATCATCATCATCCTTTTTCTTCATCACAAGATGATTAATTACACGAGAAATTGCAATGATATCTTTCCAATGTAATCAATGATTATCTTGTATCACTTTTCATTTCATCTCATGAATCATGAAATTCAACTTCATGGATAACACCAAACATTCAGGGTGATTACAATCAGTGGAAAAGATTAGAAATAGTTTAATTCTAGAAGGAGAAGGAAAAAAAAGAAAGGAAAACATGATGACAATGATGAACATTCAATCAGATTGAATTGAGAAAAAAAAATTCTCCAAACAAAATGATAACAATAAACGCCCATGAATAACATGAGAGAAACAAATTATTAGCAATTTATTTTACTCATTTGTTTAATCAGATCATTCCAAATGATATTTGGCTTATATTTATAATACCTAATCATGATTAATTTAATCTGTTGATTGATTCAGTGATTCGTCGCTCATTAACAATCCATGTCCATGATCAGCATATCCTTCCTGGAGGAATCGCTGCTTTTACCTGTCACATTTCCGGCTTTGAATCAACCTCACAATTAATGGAAGTTTCTTCATGGCTTGAAGAGCCCTCAGGCAGAGTGATAACAACAATACCGAGTAAATTGTTAACAATTGGAACCCTTTTATCAAGTAAATATTTATCACTGGACGATGGTCGACTTTACATTAGCTCGGTTTCATCTTCATTGAATAATAATCGATATCGATGTCGAGTTACCTGTAGATTAACTGGTGAAATATTAACAAGCTCATCAGCGGGTCGTTTAATTGTCGGAGGTAAATTAAAACAAATTCTAAATAATTAAGAGGAAAGAGAAGAAGAAAAAAAACTTTTAGCAATGATAAACATTCTCAGAATGAATTAAGATGTTGGATGATGAAAGAAGAAGATGAAGATAATAGTGACCACTGGTCAGAAAGATAATGATGCTAAGGAAGAAAAAAAAATTCCATGTAACTTGTCACTATGTTCATCTTGGAGAAAAGAATAAGACATTTAATTAATTAATCATCTTCTACCTTCTTAATACATTTTCTTAATTCTATTTCATTCTAACATTAATTCATTTATACGATTTATGTATTTACCTTTCATTTCCCACCTTCCATCGTCATCATGATTATCCGCTCCCTCTCTCATGTTTTCATCTTATATGGAAAAAAATATAAATTATTCAGCCCTTCGGGAACCATTTCCACCAAGAATAACATTGAAAAGTGACCTTATCATTGGTGAATTTGGAAGTCAAGTTATAGTTACCTGTATAGCTTCAGGTTATCCATTACCTCATTATAAATGGATTCCAAGATGGTCAATGGTCAAGCAACATCAACATCATTTAATGATGATAACTGGTAGTAACAAGAGTGATAACAGTAATGAAAATATCCCAAGTCCATCAACCAATAGTGACCATCAACATTATCATCATCACCATGGTTTAAAAGATGGTGATAATATCATTGGGAAAGATGATCGTTTCATTCAGGTTAATCAATTCCTGATCATCAAGAATCTTAATCAATCCGATATGGGAACCATTGGATGCTGGGCAAATAATTCATTGGGTCACGATAAAGTTTCAATTCAACTAATGGTTCGCTGTAAGTTTTACCGTTAACTTTTTGTTCACCTCTTGATCCATTTTCATAGTATTTACCTGAAAGAAAAGATAACAAAAGTTGTGGTCAGTTTATTAGTTTAAAATGTAAATAAATAATAACCATATTTTCACCATAAATTCAAATTTAATCATGATGGTTAAAAGTTCAGTAAATGAGGATAGACACACGATGATCCAAATCAGAAACTGACCACTTGACCAGCATTGAGAGATACTTGCACTTTATGGGAAACCGATAAGAGGCAAAAGTTTTTTTTCCCATAATGAAGTTCAAATCAATTGATTCATTTGAGATAATTAGAGGTTTCCGATAATAGTTGTAAATAGTTAGAGTTAATTGTAATCATTGGATTGATAAAATATAATAACATGATTGAGTTGATTTGATAGAAAAAAGTTCATTCATGATTAAAGGGATTCTTGTCAAAATGTTTGTGACCATTGGGCATCCTTAAGGATGGACAGTTATTAAATACATTCTGATACATTGAGAGTTAATCATGAAGATGATGATGAAAAAAAGCTAATAACTGAAGAGTTCTGATGTCATGAGGATTCCTGATGATGAGGATGAAGATGAAGATGATAATGATGAGTTTCTCTCATCATGAAAAAGTAGAGTTGATAGTGAACATTATGATCATTTTTTACATTTACCCTAAGGGTATGTTTACTTACTTTTCTTTACTATTAAATCCAATAAAAGAAATCATTTCATTTAGTAATCCTCAATATCTCATTAGAGTATATCAGTTTCAGGAATATATTAACATCTTGGTTAGAGTAGATTCATCATGTTAGCCTTATATATAGAATTGAATTGGAAACTGAGAAATTCAGTTTAAAATTACATAGACAAGGAATGAGAGAGAGAGAGAGAAAATCAATTGAACCAGAATCAATCAATGATAATAACTCAAACTTCATGATATATATTTTTATCAGTTAATTCGTGTTCATGTACAATCATTAGATTTTTCATTTTCCATGATGATGATCAACAGAAATTACTTCGGAAATTTCATTTCATCTTCATCCTGAACAACAAAATTTTATCATTCTTTTTATTTACTTCGTTCTCTCTTTCAACTCACTCCCATGAGTTAATATTCTGTGTATCTGTCAACTTGAATTCTGAATTTAGAAAACAATATTCATCAAACCATAAGGTTCAATTAAATTTGAATTTGCTTTCAATCAATATACAAAGAATCATAATCGATATGGAAAAGAAAAAGTTAAACAACAATGAAGATGAAGAAAATTTTTCATCCTCATTCTTCTCGTATTCATGATCATCATAACCTCATCATGATAATCATAATTTCATCATTTTAGTTAAAAATTTCATGATAAAATCATGATGAACATTCAATTTTCAACGAGTAAAAGAAAAACAAAGTTATTTGTTTCAGAGATGAAAATGAATTAGTTGTTAATGATTGATTGTATTCCAATGACGGTTCTAGATAACGGTAAAGAATAATTTAAAGATGAAGATGCTAAGTGATGAGGGAGAGAGTTTAACATGATAATTCTGTGAGTTGATGACAAGATCAACAGAACAATAGAAGCCAAATGAAGGCAAATACATGAATTGAGGTTCAATATTGTTGTCAGAAGTGTCATTGGGATCATCAATAAAAAAATTCCTATTTGCCTTTGGTCGATATATTATATCTTCGTTACCATAGAAACCAGAAGATGAGGATGAAGATGAAGATGTAAAAAAAGAACATGTTTCCGGAATGATGATCAACTTTCACACTCTCTGTTCATCCGGTTACACACAGAAAAAAAAGATTCTAGTTAATATACTTGTAGATCAAATGATTATCTATTTATCATTAATATATGAACGATTCTCAATGAATGAACATCATCTCCCAGAATCTATGGCTAATCTCATCTCTCTCTCTCTCTCTCTCTCTCTCTCTCTCTCTCTCTCTCTCTCTCTTTCTCCATCATTTTCATCATTCGATTTGTCCTCATCTTGCATCTCATCACTTTCTTCTGGCCTCTGTCTCTCTCTGTCTCTCTCTCTTTCTTATACAAGTATAGCTCCATTAAGAGTAAACTTATCAATAATCAGTGAATTTGAAAGAGACTCTCATGTAACTTTGATCAACTGTGATTATACCGGATATCCTGTTACCTCAATTGAATGGCGATTTAATGGTCATCCATTGAATTTATTGTATCCTTTGAATGGTTCATCGACAATTAAATTGTTAAATCCAAGTAGATTAAAAATTGAATCTGCAACAGAAAAGGAACAAGGTTATTTTCAATGTTTCGTTTCAAATGAATATGAATCAGTTAACGATATTGTCCAATTGAAAAAGTCTAGTAAGTATTATATTAGGTAACCACTAAAGTTTTTTCCCTTTTTTGATTCTTAATGTTTGCAGATTGATAATTAGAAAATTAGACTTTTGTTGATTATGAAATTAAGTCTATTTTAAAGCTTAAATTCTAAGCTTTCGAATGATACTAATTTTATCAATTTTAAAAAAATAAAAAAATTATCATTAAAATTTAAGAATAGGCCATTTCTGGTATTAGTCACTTTAGGCTTCAATGACCTGAAAATTTTTGATAAAATAAATTATTATTTAATTATTGAACTTATTTGATTCGAAATTTGGTGAATTTTGATAATCAAATAGAGGAGAAATTATTGCCTGAACAAAAAACGATTTAACATTAAATCCCCATAGAGAACCATTTTCTACCTTTTATCATAAAAACAGGTAAATTTTACCATTGCGTAGCATTATGAATTAGTTAATTTGATTCTAAATGGCAATTTCTCCTCTATTTGATTATCAAAATTCACCAAATTTCGAATCAAATAAGTTCAATAATTAAATAATAATTTTATTTTATCAAAAAAATTTTCAGGTCATTTCGAAGCCTAAAAGTGACTCATGAAGAACAGAGAAATGGCCTATTTTAATTTTTAATGATAATTTTTTTATTTTTTTAAAATTGATAAAATTAGTATCATTCGAAAGCTTAGAATTTAAGCTTTAAAATAGACTTAATTTCATAATCAACAAAAGTCTAATTTTCTAATTATCAATCTGCAAACATTAAGAATCAAAAAAGGGAAAAAACTTTAGTGGTTACCTAATAGTTAATTGAATCAAATATTTCCAATAATTTACTCAATTTACTAATCATTCTGATACTGATATTATCTTTACAGTTATTGCTCTACAATTTTTGGAAACTTTTGATTCTGTAATATTATCTGAAGGTGATTCAGTTACCCTTTCATGTAAAGTTGAAGGTTATCCAATACCAAGGGTCACTTGGACTCTTGACCATCAACCGATAACAACAATTACACCAAAAAGAGACATAATAACTCAATCAGATACAAAGGTTATTATCATGATATTAACATCAAGTATTCATGTATTTATACATGTAAACATTTTCTCCCTTCAAGATTAACATTAATTTACAATTTAAAACTTGAATGTTGGCAGAATTGTTTCAATTCTTGATTCATTTGAATTTCAGTGAACACTAATACAAGAAAAATACAACATGATATTAAATTGAGAATATTTTTGATGGTTCAACAAATAATATCATTTCCATTTCCATTTGAATGAAGAATTGAAGTTAACAAAACTGTCCAATTGATCCTTAGTTTCATGATAAATGTTTACACAATTTAAATTCTTTACCTTTAGTTTTCTCATGGTAATTCATTCATGTTTCATCTTTCATGAACACAGGAAAATGTAATCGTGAGCTTATTGAAATTACAAGGGATTATCCTGTTAGATGGAGGTTCTTATGGATGTGTAGCTGAAAATTCAGGTAAAAAGATTACTCATATACGAAAAGTTCAAGTTCGAGGCCTTCCATTCATAAAATCGCTCACAAATCGAATCACAATCGCCGGAAGCCAATTAACAGTCCATTGTCCGGTAGTTGGTTATCCAATTGATCGTTTAATCTGGATAAAAGGTAACAAATGAATAGTTAATCATGTGAACAATTAGATAATCTCAGGTTAACCTCATTTTCATCAGATGAACAATTCAAATGTAAAATCAACAATCATTTGATTGTTTCAATTTGTAATTTCCTAAAGTTATTATTGGGAAACTGAAAATTTGGAAACTTAATCAATGGTTTAGTAAACTACATTTTACTCTAATACATGTATTAAATTTAGTTAAATCAATTGAATCAGAAAATTATGACTACTGATTCAATTTTTACTTATCCTCAATGGTTAATCTTTGAAAAGGGAAAAGATTTTCAATCTAAATTGTGTTTGGAGAAAAGTTGATTGAATTTTCAAATTATTCCAATCAATTGAAATTTGTTGAGCAATTAACTTTTAATCTAAATTTCAATCAAAATATAATAATCGACAATTAAATATGCCAAGTAATTACATGATAGAATTACTTTACATATATAGTCTATTATTACTTATATGGTAAAAATCAAAAGAAATTACAATTCAAGTTGATTCAATTTTCCTACTGAAAAGAATTGAAAAGTTCAATCAATTAACTGAACTTTTTCTCAAAATAATTTCCAAGTTCATGATACTCATGATAGAAATTCATTTTCTTTTTTTGACATTCTCTCTCTTTGGGTCATCTTTAAGATGGTCAAGTTTTGTCAGATTCTAGTAATCAGAAAGTTCATTCAGATGGAAGTCTAGAATTGCGGAATCAGAGTAAAATCCATGATCAGGGTAAATACACATGCCGAGCATTCCAAGGGAACTATTCATCAGAATCAAGCTTCACTCTCTCCATTCAAGGTAAATGATTGAATTAAATTTTCTCACTTACCTATTGTTGAACCAGATTGATTAACATGTTAATTGCCAATCGGATTAATGAAAAAATGGATAATTTTTGGTTTCTTGTCAATCCTTTTGATCACTTTGTCAATTTACAGTTAAACCAGTTATTGAAACGTTCAAATTTCCAAGTGGACTTCATGAAGGTCAACGAGCTTCCATTTCTTGTACAGTTGCTACCGGAGATTATCCGATAATCATCACTTGGATTAAGGATTTAACAGTGATACCAAATGAATCCATAAGTCCAAAAGTCATCTCAGTGTCGGATTATTCAAGTAGCTTATTATTTGAATCTCTTGATGTTACACATCGAGGTAATTACACTTGTAGAGCGACAAATGAGGCCGGATTAACGGAACATTCAGCTTACCTGGAGATTAATGGTGAGAAAAATTGAAACATTGATTAACAAAAACACTAAAAAACAATTAAGAAAAATCAAAAATCTAAAGTAACGACTTTTGTTGCTAAGAGATTAGGTTAACCAATCAGAGATTAGAATCTTTCAAGACGATGAGTCATTTGAGCGACAATTAAACGGAGAAAAGAAAACAAATTACAGTCAAGTACCTAAAATTGTCCACTTTTTGTACGGGTTATTCGAAGAGCAGGTGATTTGAAAGGGGTGAAAATTAATCAATAATTTTGATCAAAAAAAATATTTTACTTGAACTAAACCTCTAAACAATCAGAAATTGTCATGAAAATGATAACTTTAATCTTTTTAAATTATTTTTATGAGATTTAATTAAGAAAAAAATATTCGCACTAATTAATTCAATGGGGGGTTAGTTCCAATTAGAAAGATGGAGCTACGATCGGTGGACAGTTTTGGGTACGGACAATTTCAGGTACTTGACTGTAACTCTTATTATTGCTAATTGTTGTCATTGAAACTTGTCCCAGTGCATATCTTTAATATGGGAGGTAATGTGTTGCATATCTTTCCCACTTTTGGGGCAGTATCCACATTACACCATATTTAGCACGTAAGTGTGCTTGAATTTTACTCGATCTGCCGGATACTGGTTTACCAATCCTGCACTCTTTGAATCTACATTCTGAGTATTTTTTTGGATGGTCCTCGTCATATGCAATAAGTTTTTTAATTTTTTTAATGTGTTTCGTTGGATCAATTTCTACACCTCCTTGAATAAATTTTATTAAGAATCGTTTTCTATCATAATCACGGCGTAAAGTTATGACCATTGTGACTTGGGTCGTTGTTTAATTGATGAATTGTTGAATTGTCATTCAAGCTGCAAAAGAAAAAGGTCAATTAGAGAGACAAGTTATCACCGTCTTTTTTGGAGTTGGTTAACTTGATCTTGTAATTCAGCAACAAGAGTTCCAAGTGATGCTGAATTCGTCCAGTTGAAGATGATGTAGATAAAATTTGAGAAAAAAGAGTAAAATTAAGAATTAAGAACAATTAGCTATTGAAGAAAATCTAAATTTTTTACCTTTTTTATTTTCATCACTGAGACTCTCTCTATCCTCAGCTCTTCTACCTAGAGATAATAATAAAAAGATAATTGAAATGAAAATTTTGATACCACGAGAAACTTTTGGCACCTTTGGGTATTTGCTATAAAAATCACTTAGCTGGTTTAGTTTTTCTTGCATTCACTTAAGCTTTACGTCCAGTTGATCAAGATGACGTTGATAGTTTTGGTGATGATAAAGACGTTGGAGCAGTTGAAACCTCTACAGTGGATGATGAAGATGAATAAATTCCATTCATCGCTGCTGAACACTCAGTTTGCTGTGGTGAAACTAATTGTCGTAGAGGTGATGAAGAAGATGCTATTTCAGTTGGTTCAATTGAACTCTGAGATTTTGATATCGTGGCTTTTTTATCCTTAGTCATTTTATCTAGAGATAATAAAGAGATGAATCAAATGATCAAGGTTATTCCGGTCATTTTGTTAGGATACGGTTTCAAGGTCATTTGATGGTCACAATCGATTTAAATCGCAATTACGAAGCTTCTGTGTTATTGTGACCATCAAATGACCTTGAAACCGTATCCTAACAAAATGACCGGAATGACCTTGATATTTAAATATGACAATTGAGTATGGCCTAAACCACCATAACTCGAGTCTGGCGTCTTAACACTCAAAATCAAAAAATTTATTCAAGAAAAACTTGTTGGAAACTTGGTGAGATGCCCTGTACATTCCTAATAATTAGTTGATTTTTTTGTTTGATTGTCTTTTAAATGATTAATTGTTTACATTTGTCGATTGTGATTAACAAAATGGTGTCACAATTAAAGTCTTTGGACTTACAATCCAATTTGTCTTGATTGAGATTTAATTTTCTTTGTTTATCATTTGTGTCTTTTGTTTACCTTTTTGCTTTAATCTAATTTTTTCTTTTGAATTAATTGTTAATCATTTGCTTTTATTTAATCACAGAGGCACCATTATGGACTCTGGAACCTATCGATAGCTGGTCAATCAAGGGTAACAAGGTGATAATCCATTGTCAAGCAACAGGATTTCCAATACCAAGGATTAGATGGTCAAGATCATTTGGTGAGTTAATTTTTTCCCCGGTTAATTGTTTACCTACTCATTTAATTGTCTTTCATTGGGTGAAGTGACCATTGGTCATCTCTTTTCCTGGCCTGTGTATTCTCACTTTGGCAGTGAGAATATCAATTAACCCATGTATACATATTAGATGATTAATTAATTATTTACGATTTTTTCTTTCTATATTTTCTCACCAATTCTTTTTTTTTCTTCTTCATTCACTTTGTTTATCTATTTTTAATTAGATTCTTCTGGGAAAGAGTTTAAACCAATTGCAAGTAATCCTCACATTCAAGTTCATGAAAATGGCTCATTGATAATTCATGAAACAATTACATCTGATTCTGGTTATTATCTTTGTCAAGCTCATAATTCAGTTGGACCAGGATTAAGTAAAGTAGTTAATCTTAATGTTTATGGTGAGTTTCATGTTTATGGGAATTTATTGATTGACCTACTGGAAAATTGGCTTAAGATCTTATCCATTAGTCGTTGATGTTTCATCTATTTATTGATTTATTTCTAATAATTGATTACTTTTGTTTCTCTCTCTCTCTCTCTCCAGTTAAAGCTCATTTCATTCATCACAAATTTCACAATTATTCAAAGTTGGATGATAATACAACCTTAAACTGTATCGCCCATGGTGATGACCCTCTAGATATCCAATGGTTTAAAGATGATCAAACAATTGGTTGGAATTATATTGGAACATTAAATCATCAGCATCATTCTTATGGATTAAAGGGTTTTTCGCATTATCAACTTTTCGAGGAGCATTTACCGAATCTTGTTCGTTCCGAGTTAATCATTAGTTCAGCGAAAAGGACTGATAATGGGATTTTTATGTGTCGATCATCAAATTCATTTGGAACCGATGAGTTAATTATTCAATTGACAATACAAGAACCTCCAGGACAACCAATTGATTTAATTTTAGAAGAATTATCTTCCCGATGGGTTTCAATCTCATGGAAAACTGAATTTGATGGACATTCACCGATAACAAATCATCTTGTCCAGTATATTGAACATTCACCATCATCAATATTACCAGAATTAACTTTAACTGATCGAACTAAAGTTATGATTGTGATGGGCGATTCCATGGTAGCCAAAGTAACTGGACTTCGTCCTGGTCAACGATATTCACTAATTGTGATGGCTGAAAACGCCTTAGGACGTGGTAACAGTTCCTTACCTATTTTGGTAACAACGGAAGAGGAACAACCTTCAACTCCACCCATAAATCTTTCACTTATTCCACTATCTTCATCTTCCATTCGGATAACTTGGGATCGACCAGAAATTAAAGGTCACAATGGTCAAATTCAAGGTTATCACATTGGAATAAGAGAAGCCAATGAAGTGACCAATACCTTCACCTATCACACGTTTAATGTATCTCACGATGAGGTGAATAAAGATGAAAATGATGACCGGAACAACGTGTCCAACATTAAATGGCAAAAATCGTCAACTCAACTTTCCTCCTTTTCTCAACGTCTTTCAATTATTCTAGATAATCTTAGACAATTAACCAAATATACAATAATTGTTCACTCCTTTAATAGTAAAGGGTCATCGCCGGCATCAACCGAGAAACATGTAACCACTTTTGGTATTGATCTACCGTCCACTCCTAATCCATCAATTGTTTACATCTCATCAACCTCAATTCATATTACCTGGACTCAGATAATTGATGATTCCCATCCTATCCAGGGTTATCATATTTACCATAGGACAAGCTCATCATCATCATCATCATCATCATCCACTCTTCAATTAATCCTGACAGATATGGTTCAATTGATTCAGATAAATGGTCTCAGATCACGTTAATTGGTCATCAAACTTTTTATACATTCCAAGGATTAGATTGTGGTACCATGTACAATTTTTACCTTGTCGCCTACAATTCAATGGGATTAAGTCCACCAAGTGATATAATCTATGCTAAAACAAATGGCTCTTTACCAATTACTCCCGATTATACTGAAGCAATTTATCAAAATTCATCATCAACAATTTATATCTCACTTGAAGCATGGAGATCATCTGGTTGTCCAATCGAAGAGTTTTCAATTCGTTATCAAATTACTTCCGGACTAATTTCTCGTTGGAATGAGTTAACTATTCCCAATGATATTAAATTGAAAGGATTGATTCCCATTGATAATTCCATTGGCTCATCAATTGATAAAATACAAATTTCTGTTCGTAATAAATTGGGTATAACTAAAGTTGAATACATTTTCTCACCAACCTCATCTTCAACATCTTCCTCATGGTCTTCAACTGATTTCCTATTATCAAGTAATTTATCTCGATCTTCCAAATCTGGTGTCGTAAATGTTTACAAAAAGTCCAATCAATTGCCGAAAATAATTACTAATCGAACTCACAATGGCTACGAATCAACCTTGTTATCGCAATTAATTTACTATGCAGCTTGGGCATCGGTTATCTGGTTAATTGTTTTATTATTTTATTTTGCCACTAAAAGTAAAATTTGGACAAACATGAGGGACAATTTGAATTTGAATAGTGAAAACGGACAAAACAAAGATCAACCTAAACACCACCAAGAGCACAATGAATGTTCAAACTCATCTAATGTAAACTTATCACCATCAACAACCTTACCCTTGACCGATACTACAAATTCAAACGGAAGCCATTGTTTAGATCAATCAATGAGCAATATCAACAATTGTATGACTTTGAAACTTCACGATTCTATCAAAGATCATCCACCTGAGACCATGATGACAATGGTTAAGATGACGGGAAATGGAGCCTCATATGAACCTTTATACTCGACAATCATGAAGAAACCACTTTGTAAATTAGTGAAAATTTAAAGAAACATTGTAATTAACCATTTGCACGTAAATGTCACAGAAAAGTCAATTTCTGTCAGCATTAACGATACTCATAAGTTCCTGTGTAAAAAATTCAACAGAAATTTTAAATTCCAAATTTTTTCACATTTTCCTTTAGATAAAAATCAAAATAAAATTCCAAAGCAATTGAATAAAGTTCCAAAAAATATTTTACTTTTCATTAAATTCGCAACTTTTGATCCTATAAGAATTCCAAGAGGTAGAACATGATTTTATATCGAATATCGAAAAATAGTAAACTCTCGTGTTCGAATTTTGTTGGAAAAGTTCTGATATAACATTGAAATTGAATTTCGATTACCATCCACTAGATGGAATTGATTATTCCACCGGTGGGAAATGATAAGTTCTCATTTTCTGGGAGTAAAAACTCCTACGGAAAAAAAGATGTGAATGAGAATCCAAGAATTATTGTTCGATTTTTTTCTGCTCGCACATTCTCAGCATTATCCTAGTGAATTCTTACTCTCTTCTCATCTTTATCATCTTCTCACGCCAACATCATCATCGTCATCTCATTCATACACCTTTCGTATTTATGTTTAGTGAGTGAGTTTTTTTCTCCTTCTTCTGTGTATCTTCCTTATCATCACCGATATTACAAAAATTTCTCACGAAAAGAAATCAGGAAAAAAAAAACTTCCCCACAATTAGGATAATCACAATGTTAACATCAATCTATTTGTGTTTAATGTTACACAATTTATGCGATAATCAGGTAATTGCTACCTCCCATCATCATCATCATCATCATCATCACCATGATAATGTCCATCATAATAATAATGTGCACCAATGGAATCAACTGATTAAGTTTGATAAATCATATCCAATTGATGAGGATAATCAATATGAAAACAATAGTTTAAGTGAATTACAAGTTTACCAAAGTTCATCATTTTCAGTGTCACCAAATCATTTTACAAATATTAATTACAACGAAAACTTGACCACTGGTCAAGTTACACATAAATTGACCAATTTAAATGCGGATAATTACAATGGTTATTCAATGAGAACAGTGAAAAAACATAAACATAAACAAGGAAACTTTTCTCCTACTCATAGACAAAGATACCATAGACATAGACGAATCCCTAAAGGTAAGAGAAAAAAGTTCTAATTATGATAAATATTACCTACAATTAAGAGTAAATCAAGAGAAATCAATGTCTAACTAATGATTGTACTAGTTAATTGTTCATTAATCAAAGTGATCCAATCTATTAATTGTTGTCATCCACAGAGAAACAAGCTGATGGATTAGCTTTCAGTTGATTGTTTCTTAACAATGAGAGAAAAGTTTTTCAATCAAATTGACAATTGAAAATCAAGGTAAATTATGTTAATTGTGATCTTAGAAAAAAAAGAACACAACAACAAACACTGATATAAACATGGTGATGATCAAGTTAATTGTTAAACATTATTCTGTTTGACTGATTAATTGAATATCAAACCTTCAATACATTATATTCATTGTAAGTTTAATTTACATTTACAAGAAAAAAAAAGTTAAATCAACTGCGTGTTAATTGTGAATTTAATCATGACAATAGATTAACTTAAATTGCATTGATAAATCATTCAGCTAATCAATCAAATCATGTCACTTAAATATCAAAGTTTAAGATACAAACAATTATCTAAATTGCTAAACTTTACAAACACAAAGTCCAACAATTTATTTAACAAGTTCCAATACCAATCAAGTGAGACACAATCAACAATTCAGTTAACTAATACTAAATGGTGAGTTTAAATTCATTCACCACGAGTATCAGATTCATGTAATAACTTTATTGGCAGTGGAAAATTTTTTTCCCACTCCTCATGTAAATGTAATGTTTTCTTCCCCACCTCCCCACTTCCACCCTGTAATATCAATGAACTAAATGATTAGAATACAAGGAGAAAGAAAAGAAAATCCATTTTATCGATTACCCTGAAAAACTTTCAGAACTTTTTTTTTATACTCATTGAAAAGTAAAACATTAAGAAATCCACCACCACCTTACCCCCAACCCACCCTCAAGAAAAACCTCTGAACACCAAGAATTACATGATAACTATTAAATTTCCATCATCATCTGGAACAAACCATGAACATGATAATGATGAAATGAAAAATTCTGGTCAATCTTTTTTCTTCACCTCATCTTATGAGAATGAAAATTATTATTATCATTATCATTTTCCATCATTAAACTAATCATTATAAATCATTACTTATTATCATACTGTTCATTAGATGATAATTTATCTCTTGCTGAGCATCATGATGATGAATCATTTGTTTCTCATTGTTATTATTACCTATGGATACACTAATGATTGTAATCTCTAGTTAATGATAACAAATTGAAATTGATCAATCAAGAACAATATTCATCATTAGTAAATGTATTTTAACAATATTTTAAAGATAATTAAGTGATACAATTAAGTCCAATTGTTGTTAATTGTAACTGTTTTTTTTTACTCTCGAAAACAAAAACTCAATCCTATTCATCTGATTCTCAAATTTCCAATTGTGATCAATTTGGTGTAACTCAATTTCACAAGATGATCAAAGTTCTGATGGTAATGATGAAGATGATGATGATCATCATGAAAATACTCACAATTCAATCCTCCATGAAAGTTTATATCACAATCATCACAATCACCACGTTTACTTAAATTTCATAGACAATCATGAAGGTTAATCAAGGTAAATCAACCAACGATGATGATAACAATTGAACCATAAGTTAAATAAACTGTTGAACCAAATAACATTTATCTTTTGTAAAACTATGTTACTTTTTCCTGGTTTCAGATTAACGATTTAATCTGATGAGGTTGATAATCATGTTGACAGTTTCATCATCCCGATTGGGTTAATCTCAAAGGCCTTAAAATAATTTACCTTTTATCAAACTGTCAAAATAAATCTTTGCCATTTAATATAATTATCAAGACAAGTTTAATCTTTCCTTTGATTAATTGATCAACATTTTATTTCATCATCATCATCATCATTATCATCATCAATTGGTAATCACAATTTTTAAATTGTTCTTGTAATAACTGTTTGATTATCTAATCATGGATTAATGGATCATGTCTCAAAAGCTGAAAATATTATCCTATCAATTAGTGGATTTACAAATGATAATGTAAATGATATTATTAAGATTCTGGAGTTTGAAACTAATAACTTAGTGGTTCACATATAATACAATTCTGACTTTGAATTGTTGTCTATTTTTGTTTGATCGCTAATCATTTAGATTGAGTTGATTGCTGTTGACATGAAATTCTTGAAATAAAATCAGTATACATGGTCTACAAAGTTGATGCTGAGCTTTGCAAAAAGTTTCATGTTTTACTTTTCCATTGTTAATTGAACTTGATTCAGTTCCGATGAAATTAAATGGAGAGAGATGGGGAAACAATATCATCTTATCAATATAATATATAAAAGACTAAAATAAATAGGATAAAGATTGAGGATGAAAAAAGCAAAATAGCCAAAAAAAACTCATCTCATAAGCTTTTGAATGTTTGAATGTTTTCACCAGAATCATCATGAACTGATAAGTGGAATGACAAAAATAAATGGATCAAAGTTGTTGGTTTGAAAACAAAAAGTCAACAAATTCAACAATGAAAATGAGCTTAAGTAATAGTACCAAGAGATAAATGTTGATTCAGCATCTTGATCATCATGGTAGGGCTGATAATGATGATGATGATTGGATTAACTGATTATTTAAACCAATTTAACACCCAAAGCAAATCATTGAATTGTCAAAATCAACCAATATCTAACCATTATCATTATCTTTATCACCATGAAACAAAAATATTACATTTTGTTGACAAGACAATGTTGTGAAAAAACATTTTCCAGGTTCATCAGAATTTCAATTTCCAGAATCATCAACAGAATTAACAATTTCCTCACAGTATTTATCTCATTGTTATCATGCTAATTGTTTTTAATTAGTGTCAATTGTTGAAAGTGGGAAAAAAATGTTTCAATTCTGTAAACATAGTAAACTTTTCAAACTTTGCATTTGAATTGATGGTGACATGAGATGATATTGTAAGCTCAGTTCAGAATTCAAATGATAATAAAAAGGATATCAAATACACCAAGAGAATAACATTCAGCTTAACCTTTAACCTTAAAACATTATCCAATCATTTGTACATCCATACTGTTAATTTATGCTTCTCACCTTCCTGGTTACCAGTTTCATCTTCATCCCCTGAAAAATTTCAACAATGAACCTGAATTGAATTATAAAATATCATACAGATATATTTGGTGTATATGATTGTGTATACAGGGGAAAACACATGAGACTCATTTTATTCAGTCACTGAACAATCACAAATATACAAACAGAACTTTTCTTTCCTAATCCTGCCTTTCTCACCACCTTTATTACTTGCGGTTACTGTTGTTTTTACAGCTTGACCACAAAAGAATATTAAAAAATACAACTTAGACTGGACCTTACAAGAGGTCAACTCGATGGTCATGGTGATAATGTTAATAGTTATGAAAAAGATTTTCTGGACCAAAACTTCAATGAATTTTTGGTGATTTTTTGGTGATTTTTTTCAGTGGATATTTGAATACTGTATAAAAAGTATTTATTGGTAATCTAATAAAAAATGATGTGTAAAATGAATTTTCCAGTTTATCAATAACATAAATGAGACATACAATCCAATCCCATACTTACCTGTGGATTGGGAGTTCAGAGTTACAAATTATACTGAATCAATTACGCTGATTTTTCATGACCATTGCATGGATCTTGAGCTTCATTTTCAGATTGATAATGCTCGTAAATTTACGAACAGTTTCAAAGTAGTTAGGTGTTTCTCGATATGAATTGATGGTTTCAGAACTTTTTGCACATATTTCTGCGGCAGCTTTGAAAGAAATTTTTATTTATCTAATAAGAATATCAAGAAAGCCAACCAAAGGCCTGCGTTGAAAGTTAATGATGGAGTAAATTGAGAACTTCAATTGACTCAGCAGCTTCTCGCTAACCACGTCAAGGACCCACAGAGTAACGTTTCTGGTGACGGGAAGATTTTGTAGAAACGAAAAATTGATTGAAAATTAATACAACTTCATTAAATTAATGCTCCTGACAATTATAAAATCATACAACCTGATTAAAGTTCACAAACAGATAACTGTACTTCACCACCTCCCACATGAAACTCCGATGACGATCACTGGTTCCAAGATGATGAAATTCAAATAATGATAAAAGTTTCATGACAAACCCACCAAGTTGTCAAGTTTTTTGATTCATCTTTCATTAGAACAGAATAAGTTTGATGATATTAATTTAATCATAGTTTCAATAGTTGATAAAAGCCAAAGAGGATAATCAAGTAACTGACCAGAACTTGAAAAAATTTTTACTGACAGAAAACATCATCTCTATGGTTGAACAATTTGATTAACTAACTAGTGATGGGAAACACTGAGAAGATTAAAAATGAGAAGGAGGATAAAGTTGATATTCATATACATGAGATAATAAATATCAGATTAATAATATCATGGTAATAATATATAAATGAAAATTAATGATAAAATATTAGTAATATTTATATTCCTGAATTCAAGTGATAATATATTAATATTCAATGTCATTCATTCATCCTGATTAAATAAATTACTGATACAATGTTATTATAATGATAATCTATCAGTAATAATCATAAATGATAATTTATATATTTACAAAACTAATATAATGTCCACTCTTCGTGGGAGTTAAGGTCAATAAAATTCATGGTGAACCTTAATTAATATTCAAATTTCATGATAATATTGAAAGATTAAGTTTCAATTGTTAATCTTTCCAATTAGCTTTGGTTATCTCTAATGTTGATTGTATTACATTAAAATCATTATTACTTTGAACTGTTCTTGATAATCCAAGTATTAGGGCAGTCAAAAAGTCCGTGTAAAAACAAGGTTCCGTTTTAGGCCAAAAGGTCACGCTAGTAAATAATTGTAGCGACCATAGGCAAGGCCTCATACCGAAAATTTCTTTGTTCTGGCCTAGTTAGTTTTTTA